GCTTCTCCAGCTTATGGCTGATTTTCCTAGTCTGAACACGTATCCTGAGAACGATTTTCTGTCATCTAAGTCTGAAGCGTAGGAACTGTCTGAGAAACCATCGAGTGTTCTAGTGTTTCCTTTCGGGTAGAACAGGTTCCAGTCTTTGGTTCCGTTGAGGTATCGGAGGGTTCGTTTGGCTGCTCGTAGGTGGTCCTCAGTTGGGCATGAGGAGTACTGAGAGAGGGCAGTAACGGTATGGGTGATATCAGGTCTGGTTGCTATGCTGGCGTACATGAGTGATCCAATTATGGATTGATACTCAGTTGGTTTCTCGATTTGATCTTCTGGTTCTCCTTTACGAAGACTCAGATTTGGTTCGAGTGGTGTCCCAACTGGTTTGCAGTTATTCATTCCAAATTTGTCTAGGATTTTGTTGATGTATGCTAGTTGTGACAGCGTGATACCGTTCTTTGTTACCGTTATTTCTATTCCCAGTAGGAATTTCGCATTACCGAGATCCGTACATTCGAAATCTGCCTTAAGTAGTTGTCTGATTTCGTTTCTGAATGGGGAGTCGGGTCCGAATATCATGATGTCGTCAACATACACCGATATGTATAGTTGGTGTTTCTTATGTATGAAGACACATGGGTCGAATTTGGCTGGGACAAATCCTTTCCGTTGAAGGGAGTCTGCTAGGCAAGCGTACCATTCACGGGGTGATTGTTTTAGTCCATATATGCATTTTCGAAGTTTACAAACCTTGTGGTCCTGCCTGTAGCCTTCAGGTAGTTCCATGTAGATTTCCTCCTTAAGTATACCATATAGGAAGGCTGACTTGACGTCCATTTGTTGTGGTATCCAACCGTTGTGTGCGGCTAGTGCAAGTAGGAGTCTTAGGGAATCGTATCGGGCAACGGGGGCGAAGGTTTCATCATAGTCTTGATACTGTACTTGGGTGAAGCCTTTGGCGACGTATCTAGCTTTGTATCTTTCGATTGTTCCGTCCGCGTTGTGTTTTACCTTAAATACCCATTTTCCTCTGACTACTGCTCGGTTGGTTGGTGTGTCGACAATGTCCCAGGTGTGGGCCTTGTCGAGGGCGTCTTTCTCTGTCTGTATTGCCTTCTTCCATAGGTGTTGATCATCGCTTTTCATTGCTTGATTGAAGGTGGTAGGTTCAGTTACTAGGTGTACCCGATGTATGGTGGAATCCAGGTTGTCGTACTGGCTTTGGAGCTTTGCTTTGTCCTTTTTGTGGTCTAAACTGGCTGCTTCCATTGCTAGTTGCTTGGTTTGTTCGTCCATATCTTCATCGGCTAGAATCTCTGATACCTCCTTGTCATAGGTGGTTCCTAATTCCGATATTTTCAGTCGGATTTCCTTCCTTTTTCCTTCGATATCAAGTGCTGCTTGTTTCTCCGTTCTTTCACGGATGCGATTCGATCTTCTTGTTGTGACAGGGTGCGGGACTTCAGATTCTTTCTCCTTTTCGGTTGTTGGTTTCCAAGGTTTCGATTTCCTTGGTGGTTCCGGGGGAGGTGTTTCTGTGTTTTCCTGATTAGCTTCCTGTTTATTACTTTGTTCGAGGTGACGTCCAGGAGTGGGCCTCGTAAGCCCGGCCCCCAGTCTACTTGCGTCTGTTTCAAGGTCTTCTTCGAGTGCTGACGATTCGGGTTCTTGATCAGGCCTGTCTTCTGATTCATATCCGTCGTCTGTCGGTGCAGGTGCCGTTTCTGGTTTCAGGATAGGGGTGTAGTCGAGTTCCACGGAGACTTCCCCTGATTCAGGAGGGGGGAATGTGACATCTCGACTTACAACTAACCTATTTTGTGATCCTATCCAGGTGCGGTAATGTTTGGTACTGTCTGAGTATCCGACGATGATTCCTTCGTGTGCTCGGGGTGCTAGTTTGCTTCCTGCTGGCCTAGAGTTTTCTGGGATGTGGACATAGCATTTCTTTCCGAATGGTTGAAGATGTTGGATACTTGGCTTTGAACCTTTCAGGGCTTCGAAGGGGGTCTTTCCCTTTAGCGTACTGTGGGGTAGCCTATTTTTGAGGTAGACAGCGGTTGAGTATGCTTCACCCCATAACGATTTAGGATGGTCCATGATCATGCACCTGACCATTGTTGTTATCGTCCTGTTGAATCGTTCTGCAACTCCATTTGATTCAGGAGTGTATGGGGGAGTCTGTTCGTGGACTATTCCTTGTAGGTTGAAGTAGTCCATTGTGTCTTTGTTGACGTATTCACCACCACCGTCCGTTCTAAATCTCAGTATTGTTGTATTATACTGTTTCTCGATTTTCGTGACGTAGTCTTTGATGGCTTTTATCGCATCGTCTTTCTGTTTTAGCAGATATATCCAGGCGAAGCGGGTATAGTCGTCAATGAAGGACATATAGTACAGGGCTTTTCCTTGCGATTTTGTGCCGAATTTTCCAGATAGGTCAGAGTGGATTAGTTCGAATGCTCGCTGGGATCTTGTACTAATTGGTGCAGGTTTCTTGTGCAAACTTTTTGATAGTGCGCATTGACTGCAATGGAATGTTTCTGGTTTGGGGGGTAGCTTATGGATGTCTTCGTACAAGTTTTCTAGTGTCGCAGGGTGGCCTAGTGCTTGATGCCATTCAGAGTAAGTGGTCAAGCGAACTGTATTGCTAACTACTTGTACATTCCAAAGTCCCTTATCCAATTTCGCCCAAATTATTCCTTTCTTTTCTTTCGTGACCAATTTGTTTCCTCCTCCCGACTCTGTTCTAAACCCCTTTTCGTCGAGTATTGTTTCTGAGACCAATCCCACATTTCCCATGGTTGGGACCAGCAGCACGTCGGTGAGGACAACGGTGGATCTATCTCCATTGGGAAGGTAGCATTCGAAACTAGCGCTTCCCAATCCGGTGACAGCGTGGATGGTGCCGTCGGCTGTTCGGACTGTGCTGGTGTGAGAACGGATGTTGAAGAGTTGGTCTTTGAAAGGTGTTACGTGAGAAGTAGCTCCAGAATCAAGGATCCAGGTAAGGGGCAGAGAGGGTGAAGTATCGGTGCGTACCATGCATACTGTTGTGGATGATTCGTTGATAACTACCGACGCTGAGTTATCTCTGCCTGGTCTCCTTCTGTTTGAATCTCTTGTCTTGTTCTGTTCTTTGAGCTTTCTACACTCCTTGTACTCGTGGCCCTGGTACGGGTTATTCCGTTTCTTGCACCAGGTGCATTCCTTGCCGTTTGGTGTTGGGGTACTCCTGGTATGAAGTACCCTGTTGTTGCCAGTGAGAGGGGTTTCCTCTTGTAGGTTTTGTAGCCGTTGGCGTACATCTTCGTATGTAACATCCTGTTTAGTCTGGATGTTATCGACGACGTTGTTCATCGACTTCGGCAGTGAGGCAAGTAGGAATGCTGCCATTGCTTCGTTGGATTTGGTGAGGGGTAGCAGGGCCTGAGCGAGTTTGTGGTCGCCGCTCTGACACCTGGTTTTGAGAGTGTTCCAGTTCGTGTTGAAGGTTTCGAGATGCTCGGTTAAGTTACCGTTGTCTTGCATCTTCGTGTCTAGAACACGGCTGAGGAGGGTGATCGTCGTGTTTGGTGATACGCGATCGTAGAGGTCTTTGAGCGCCTTCCATGCGTGGTATGCATTTTCGGCGGAGACGACTGTTGGTTGTATGTCTTCGGCTACAGCTCCAATGAGAAGGCTGTGCATTTGTTTTCGGGCCTTTTTGATTTCGGCCTTGGTGAGGTCTGTGTCATCTTCTGAGGGGTTTTCGATGCTCAATGCTTCCCACCAGTCTGCTGCATCGAATGTAATCCTCCAGGCAGACGCCCAAGTTTGGTAGTTGGATTGTCCCTTTAATTTTGGGAGTCCATCAAACTTGATGCGAATGTTACTGGGACTCGTGTTGTCTGAGGACTTAACCTCCACGGCCTTGGATGATTCACCAGCATCAGACATGATGTTGTATGAAGTGTAATTGAATTAACCGAATGTGGCGAGTGTTGTGCGGATTTTATTTGGCAAAACCCGGGCTCATAACCTGAAGTTTGTAGTGTGGGAGAAAATGACTTGAATGTGGTTTGGACACGTGACCTTGAGGGAGGATGTGTTTTGTAGTGCGAAGAAGATACTATTGCGCCGCTGAAGTTCCAGCGACAATGTGGGTGTTTGAGCGCCCTATATATACAGATATTCTAATACCACGTGATCCCCTGATTACATAATCCCTGACACTAAGCCTTGTCTGAATCCCTGTTCCTTCTATGAGTCATCCCTTATACATGAGTAATTCCGTACATAACCGATGTCGCAATGCCCTTATTTCTACAACATGCACAGTGGTAGTAATAGTAGCGGTAACAACAGCTCTAGCATATGGTAAGTATGCAATGATACATGTAGTAATAGAGCTAAGTAAAGCACGTTAGGCCATACCAATTTTTGCAGTGCCCTTTTGCCCGGACAGTCAATATAATATTCTATCCTATCCTTAGCACGGTTTCCCTTTAATTTAGAACCATTCACACCGTCTCCCTTCACAACCACCAAACGACTATACTTTGAACTCACTGTCCACCCATTCCTCTTTTTGAACGGGAACATGGCTTCACCAACAGTTTTCCGCTTAAATTCTTAACCAAGAACCGCAAACTACGGTTGGAGCAATCCATGGTGGCAATGGCTTATTATCTCATTTGGTATTTATTCATGCTCTTGAAGTCATTCTTTTCGAAATTTCTTATATAATAATAGGGATACGGTCTTAAAACAAATTAATTACGCGTTGGAAGCACACTCTTTCTGTTGACATCTGCAGCGCAGTCTTGCTAGTTTTGATTGGCTAATAAACCACGGGACAGGGTTCGTAACCCAGGAAAATAGTAGTGCCCCCGTTTTGATGGCAACGGATCCCTAGGCTGAAGCTTGCGGAGAATTTCTTTAGTAAAGCTAAAGTTTATTACCAAGGTTTAAGTCTTTACGGAAATTCTAACGACATTCAATAGTTCCACAAATGGTCTAAAAGGTTACTGTCCCTCTCTCAATGCCCTCCAGACAGCCCTTGCGGTCCCTACTACTCCCGTCTTTCCTCTCAGCCCCACGAACCCCACTCCTAACACACCCGCCAGTACCACCCCACCAGCAATAGTATCCATCCAGAGTTTTTGTCTCCTTACTCTTTCTACAACCTCGCTATACCTCAGACTACTGAACGACACCATACTATACATCGTCCTAACACCCAACCAGGGAACATAGGCATACAGCATCTCCTCAACCCACTTCCGCGCAAGATAGGCCCGAGACGTCACAGATGCACGCATTTCTATGTAGTTGCGCATGGCCAGATCGTTGATACAGTGGCTATCCGGCCTCCTATGCTTGCTGTATGAAGCAAGAGCAGCAGCAAGATCGCCAGGATGCAGAGCTAGATGGTCGAACAGCACGCGCACATCCTCGAGTCCAGCGTTCATACCCTGCCCGTAGAAAGGGACCATAGCGTGTGCTGCGTCGCCGATGATGATAGCGCGGTCCTTGTAGTGGTACGGGTCGCATTTAACACTGATGAGTGGCAGCCTGGGGTTGCGCATGAATTGGTCGAACAGGGCATCTTCCCCAACAAGTGGGATAACATCCTCAAAGTTCTTCTTGAAGAAGGCAAGGTGTTTCTCGCGGGATTCGCCGAGACCAGCGAAGAGAGATGGCGACATGAAGAGGGTGCAGGTAAACGTCTTGTCAGCGCTAGGGATGGCGATAAACATGTATGTCTGTTTTGGCCAGATGTGGAGGTGGTTTGGGGAGAGTTGAAAGTCGCCTGTAATTGGATGAGGCGGGATATGGTACTCTTGCCAAAGAGTGTCAATGTAGGTTTGCTCATAGTACATCTGTACATTTTTCTGGAGGAGACGGCGAGTGGCGGAATGAGCGCCATCGGCGCCGACGACAAGGTCGGTGTGGACTGTTACCGACTCTTTTGTTTTCCTGTGGAATGTTAGTCATGGGAGGAGGTAAGGGACAGGGAATGAGGAGAGGGATGACAAACGTATTCTCGAACTCTACCTCTCCCGCGTCCAGGTCCATCTTTCTCAGCCCATGGTTGAAAATCATCTTGACGTTTCCCCTCTCTGCTAGAGCATCCAGAATCTGGACGTTCAGCTTCCACCGGTCTGCAGACCTGATAAATCGTCCGTGGACATCATATCCCTGGCTCATTCCCTTATCGCTTGGTTTCCCGGAGTGAATCATGCGCCCGTGCATTGGAATTGTCTCCTCAAGGACCTTCTTCAGCAGGACTTCATTGTCACCAACGTTCCGGAGACCATCGATACCGCGATCAGAGAGAGCAAGATTGATGGACTTGGAGAAGTTGAGCGAGAGATTTTCGGGAAGACGCAAATCACCACGGAGCTCATAGAGTTCGACCTCCCAGTTTGCGTGAGAGAAATAGAGAGCTGCGAGGGAGCCAACAGGGCCAGCGCCAATTACGACCACTTTCTTGGGCGAGGTTGACATTATAGTGGTGCAGATAGTATGGAGAGAAGCTCTGTGAATGATTAAGAGTTTAATTAAGCTCAGGCGATGTCGTTGTCGGCGGGAAGTTCCGCACACTCGGCTTGCTACGGCGATATCAAGGGTCGGTCGTACCGAATTGCACGTCATGAGCCGATTGAGTTAGACACACGCGATCTCCAGCTATTTTCTATCATTGACATTGAGGTCAATGATCTGGATTAAGAATATTGCAACTGATAGTATTAATAGTAGCAACAAAACTGTCTCAGTCTGTCTCGTTCCCAGCCCAATCCCTTCCTGCCAAGAATCGCAAGAAGGCTGGCTGGGCGCGGGACAGGCACCAATAAGTTGTGTTACACCACATCAGGCATAGTGGGCTATCCGCCAAGCTGTCAAACATTACCAGTGCAGGGCTCCCGGCCCCCAACACGATCAATCGTCGTTTTATTCCTTCCAAAGAAATACAAATGTGCGTAAATGAAAGTCACTACGGGCTCATATTCGACTATTCAAAGTCAAGTTTCCGACCGCCCGCGAATGTAAAGAAAAAAGGAAGGGAAGAAGGAACGAAACTGAGCAAAAATTAAGTACAACACTAATAATCTGGATAGTCCAAATAAATTCTATATGCCAACTCCCAAGACGACGACGATGATGATGCCAACAAAATATTCGCGACGCAGGACACAACCCAATAAACAACTTCCAAAAAAATAAAGAAGAAAAAAACTCCCAAAAAGAAATTACCATGGCGGGTGAAAGTCCAGCACCAAAATTCCGGAGCCCTCTGGAGGATCATCGACATAGGGTCCCCACCACGTATGGAACGTTAGATATCGGTCAAGCCACTTGACACAATACCAATAGTCGCAATGTACCTCGCCCTTCACCTGTAAGCCGCCGTCCTTATCAAACTTTCCGATCTGCAAGTCCCCCTCAGCCTGTTTCACCACTTCGCGTCCAGGGCTATTAACGATTCTCTTATCTGTGATTCTCCGTCTTGTAACCTGCTCATGTCGTACAATACCCTTCAGGTTCTGCTCCTCTTTCGGCCGCTCCTCATACACTGCCACATCGATTCCAATCTCCTCAGATCCCATGTCGTAGCATATCACGCCGACATCCAACGTCGAGAATAGTATTTCTGCACTGCCCCTCAAGCCTATATCCCCAGCAATATGGTGCGTGGGTGACTGCACACGGTCTACTGCAACAATAGGGCTCTCATATCTCCTCTGCTCCACTGCAAACCCCGTCCCACCCCGCTCTGGAGCTATGCTCCAGGAATTGAACAGCACTGCTTTCGGTGGCTTTTGCCGAGATGATAACTGCATACCTGCCTCGCGGAGAACCGCAGGAATCATAGGTTCTGAGAAATCACAGAAGAACGTTTCAGTGATGTTAAAAACATCATGTCGATGCGTAAAGTCCACAAATATATTCCTGGCCACATTTCGTTCACCAGAGGTGATATCTTCGGGGTAGATGAGAAATTTTCCAACAATCTTCCCGGACAGCGTATATATGGTAGCCAGTAAATCCAGGCGCGTATCTGTCTCGCAGTGATCCCGCACAAGGATAAAATGCTTCAGCGGGCGGTCAACAACCATGACATCGTAGCTCAAAAATCTGTACGCCACCACATCATTCCCGTTTTCCAATGGCATCTCGGCAGTTATATCGCCAGTGAACATATCATGTATCACAAAATGCACGAGCGACCGGGCAGAGGTGTCAAGACCATCAAAGCTAAGAATTGGTGTTCGTCGGAGGTAGAAGAGCTTGCCCTCGCTCCATTCGAGCTCACCTAAGATCGTCTGTTGAGGGTGCATTCGATACTTCCATGCTAGCTCACCTGTACACAGGTCGATCACAATGAACCTTTCCTCCTCCGTACTGTTAACATCCTCCACCAATCTCCCTTTACACAGCGAGGATTTGGGGTACACTCACTTAGCGCGGCTCCCCGAGAAACTAGGATGATCATATCCTCCCCAGCCAAGAGAATACTCCATCGATAGTATCACAAGCCCTTTAACGATCTTCAAAGTTTGTACTCTCAGATATCCCGCCACACCCTCCTCATCCTCCTCAAGCCACCAGGGACTGATGTCGATCTCCCGAACCTCACCGTCTCCCTCCAAATTCTTCACTCGCAGTACCTTATCCGTCCGATTTGATATCCATGCAACCTTTCCCTCGCCTACGTCCCACTCCATCATCGCATCTGCAAAGTTTAACAATACCTGGTGCATACGTGTCGGTTGGCCTGTCCTCCGCGTGTGGTACTGGTACACCACTCGTCGCCACAGCAACGTAACATCTAGTGAAGGAGCATCGGCTCGGGTATGCGAGTCGCGAAGATCCCGTGATTGGGGAACATGTGGAAAGTGGTGGAGTAAGGCGATCCGGGAGATGTATGGGGAGTTGAGGACTGCTCGCCAGTGCTTGGAGACGAGCTGGAGGCGTATAAGATCGACAGGAGGCAGATACTCGACGAGGTGGGCGATTTCAAAGTCACCGAGCAAGGTGAAGGGGTCCATGATGTGCTGGTGATGCTGGTGGTGAGGATGTGCTGGTGGTGGGGTTATCGTCGGGGTAAGCTCAGGGGTAGGTTACGCCAAGTAATTTTTACTGGTGGGGGCAGGGGTAGGTAATACTCAAGCTCTACTGGTTGTGAAACGTAGGCCGGACCATCAGCTGAGGATTTCTCACTTCTAGAGTACAAAAAAGAGCTGATAACACGTCCATGAGGGACTTGTTAAATATTACACAATCGCTCGATATTAACTACGTGTGGAGTAGCTATAACTAGTTAACTGTCGATCGGATTGGCCTATAATTAGGTGACGTCAATATGAGGAGTTTAGGCAAGTACAAATTACACACTACTCGTAATTTTTTTGCGTTTCCGGACTGGACTAGGTCCGCATATGGGCGTAAATCGTGCTTGACAACCATATTTTGGTGGTATGCGGACCCAGTCCAGTCCGGAAACGCAAAAAAATTACGAGTACACGCAAAAATCCGCTTCAGGGTGTCTCCATAAAACTAATACCACGATTCACAAACTTAAAGCCTCTTCTCTTGCGCTACAAAAACATTTAAACCCAGTACAGACTTCAACCGGCTGAAAACAACAGTCATCGACTAAAGAATTTCCCAGACAAGAGGCATAACTACTCTAATTTTGATATCGACGATATCAAAGCCATGGCTTCGAAACACTTAGGTCTAGTGCTTTAGGATTTACTGAGGGTAGCTTCCTTGATGTGGAAAACTGCTGGGAAGGAGTTGCGCCGATTTAAATCATTACCCACGCCATGAGCTGACTTGAGCTGGTAACTACGGTGCCTTAATTCCACAGTATTTTTTTTTTGTTTAATTCATTAATTAATTGCGTAGTATCATATGACCAATGGTCCAGTCTTTTCATCATATCGAACTTGAGCCGGACCCGGCAGCACCAACAGATAGATTGCAATGGTGTCCGTTGAAAGATAGAAGACGTTCAGTATATACATGTGGTTGAGCAAGTGCTTCACAAGACGAAGGTGCCTGTTAGTAAGGTTGACTCATGGAAAGAGAGAAGACGTGCAATTCATACTTAACATGAGTCGGCGTGATTCATGATTGAAATACCGTCTGCACAACCTTGCACAGTCTAAACTTTCCAAAGCTATTTAACGTGAGTAACTCATCCATATATCATGTATTCAAGGCCTATCACTTAAGATTGCAGTTTTCTACAGCTTGGGCATATCTGATACATATAAAACACCACACAAAACCTCAAGAATCTTTAATTAAAACCCTCAAACCTCGTCAAAATGGACGAGAATGGTGCAAATTGACCAGATATAAAATAAAAGCCATGATATTAAGAAATAAGGAACTGAACAGCTACCCACCGCGCGCCAGCCGCTAATTCCAAAAAATCCGGTATATCACCTCTTTCAAAGTTCCGAGCGTTTCTTTTATCGCAATTTCTATAGCAATTTCTAGTTAATTTACACAATTTATATACGGGTTGAGAGCCCAGATAATAGCCTTTTATCAACAATCTGGCCTACCTATTATCATCGACGAACATGACAGTAAAGGTTGTACTATGTATAAATCAGGACACAATAGGCACAAAGCTCTAACTAACGACAGCAAGAGATTCAAAGAAATAGTATATGCCAGGGTACTGACAAAGCTAAACGTGCAGTGCGTTATTATGGTTCGAAATCTTTTAACCAAAACAAGATTGAAAAAGAAGTAAGCGGAAACGTATGCACGCACAATTAATTAAGCCCCCCTCTTTGGAATTCTACCCATTAGCCTCAACAGCAACCCCGCCATTTGGGTTGGATACATGGCCTCTGCCAGATATCTTCATAAAACCAGTCCCCGTCCATATCCTCCTCCAGGATACCCCAACCCCCAAGGCGGATCTGCTTCAAGTTTGGACTCTTCATCGGCCGTCCATACAACCTGGCCGTACAGAGGATATTCCAGTAGCTAGAGCGCAGGCAGCAGAAGCTTATTTCCTGGATGTCTGGTGATCCTTCAACGAGGTCAAAGAAAAACTTCGAGATTTCATCACCTCGGACGCCAGAATAGGTGGCGCTAAAATCTTTAAGCTTCGGAAGGGGACAATACACATCTTGAGTATAATCCATGACATCTCTGATTGTCCCCATATGAAGTTTTTCTAGGACTGGAAAGAAGCGTCCGAGCTTGTTCATTATAGGGAGAGTTATTGAGATACTTTCCATGACAAGTGTCTTGAGGTTGGTCACTACCATGTCACTGTAGAGATCCATACCGCAGAGTGGCTTTGATATATTCTTGAAGTTTTCTAAAATAAGAGTTTCGAGATTGGGGAGGAGCTGAAAAAGCGTAACAAGCTGGTCCGGGCGAATGTTTTTATTTGGTTGATGAACATTTGGGTTGGCTATGAGAGTTTTAAGCCCGCTCAAGAGTTTTCCGAGGTCGGTGATGTCGTCTAACGTTATGGCAAGTAGACTTTCATGAACGCTTTTCTGGCTACCGCTAAGTGTGAGGGAGGACAAAGTTTGGTCATGGAGTCTAAGCTCTCGAAGAAGATTAAGAGGTTGGTATGTATGATTCTAAAACGTTAAATAAATAATAATCCACAGCTAATTATAAAGCGAATAACAACTAAATATGTATGGTAAAATGAACTCACCTTACCACCAATACAGTGGATAGACAGATTTCTAACGCACCCTCTTGGGAGATTCGGAACTATTTTATCAGAGAAGCCTCTGCAAATATTTCTCCTAGGTTTCTCATGAATAAATAGGTCCTCCCAGATTGTTGGCACTGTTCCTAGATGGCGAAGACTCTTGTGGGTGCCAAAAATGAATCTGACTTGATCCACTGTTTCGAGGTTTTTTGCAATTATCGTTAATACTATCCGATACAGAATCACTAAGTCAGTCCGATGTTGAAACCTTTTCTAACATACATGTAGCGGCGGAAATTCTTACATTCGAGCGGAAGCTTTCCAAAACATCCCAGTGAATGCTGCATTGGCTCAGAAACAGACATTTTCGGCGGTTTTAGCTCCTAACAGTAAGCGTTAGAGGTAGTTTGGTGTTAGATAAATTTGCTAGTTTTCCAACTTACTATTGGTATACGAGTAGAAGTGGTTTGAGATTGGTTGATCTGAGAGTTTGATACCAAGTTGGGCTTTATGTCTTCGCCTGGATATCCTCTGGTAGCCTCTACTTCTTTATCCCTCTTACACGTACACTTGTTTCCGCAGGAAGAGCCTCCCTCGGTCATATCTGAATTGAAGTATGTGATGAGGATGAGGAGGGGTTGGTGGGTTGATAAAAGTTCAGGTCAAGATAAAGACTTGGTGGTAGTAGTTGATACTTAATTGAGAAATGGGTTAGGTAAGGATAGCGTAAGTAGTAAGCATCCGATCTCCTTTACGTCCCGAAAAGCTAACTCCTGTACAGAAAGTATAGGTTCTTGAGACGGATGTGGTGCTGTTCGCATGTATGCCGAAGGTAAGGAAGAAAGGAGGGTACGATGTTACCTACTCGAGCATTCCGAGAACATGTGGTATAAATTCTATTCCCCAGGGGTATACATACATGTAAGTACCAATTCTATGAAAATCACACCTGTTCAAACGATGAGAACAAACATGCTACATGCATTTTCCCAACATAGTTCAGCGTTACGTGGAGTAGGTGCATCGATCCGAGACGTGCTGCATCGAATAGAATTAATCGGACGGAGAATTACATATACATTTAATAACGCCTAATACAAACCATAGACCCATAAACCAGCCATATCGCTATCGCACAGGGTAAACGTTGGCAGGAAGAACATACTACGCATGCAGTGTCGCTTATATCCTTCAAAAAAACAATTGATTTGATTGAATTATCTCCCGTGATAATGATATAAGGGTTCAAGACCAATTCTGCTCGACCCTTTACCTTTAGTGCTTGTACGGGACTGAAGAGGGGCCGAGTGAGAATCTATGAGCCACTGCCAATGATTAAAGGTTCATCTACGACGCGTTGCGTAAACCTACACAAACACTAAATATCACTCGTTACCTCGGGTTAAGCCCTAACACGGCTCCAATATACGTGTTGTATTCTTAAAACTTGTCGGCTGGAAAGAAAGTACTTAACACGCATTTTCAATGAGTTTCACTAAACTCTGGTGTCAAGGCATCCTCAGTTCCGCCTAGTCGACACATCAGTCAAATCATTTGTGTACTAGCCCTAGATTAAATTTCTTCCCACTAGATGTACGTACATATACCATTAATCAGAACATCTTACTTCTTTTGCACACTACCATTAATCAAAAGATCTTTCTTCTTTTTACAACGACATCAGATACTTTTTTATATATAGGCCACGATACTCAATATTTATATTCAAATATCACTACTTTATGTCCAAGTGGGGGAAGATCCACGACTCCTGGCTCAGTAAAGCCATAAACGAGAAGTCTTGCAAATCATGGCAGGAACTCGTTGACGCTTTTAATCTCAGCTTCCCTGACTATACAAACCCCCCAAACGAGGATGTCCTTGCTTTCCGTTGGCAAGTAAGTAATGGGTGGAGAAGGTTGGACATGGGAGCGATCTATAAAGACCCTTTCACTATTGATAAAATTGCTCGACCCGTTACTGTGCCTCCTGAACCCGTTACTGTGCCTCCTGAACCCGTTACCGTGCCTGCTCGACCCGGTACCGCACCTGCTCAACCCATTTCTGTGTCCGCCCAACCCGTTACTGTATCCGCTCAAATTACCAACCGGGCTTACTTGATGTGGTCGAAGGAAGAGGATGAATGGCTATTGGACATTGCGGGAAAGGTCCTCCAGGCACGACCAAATCCATGTGCCAGGGAAGAGACGCAAAAAGGGTACGGGTGGCTTCGTGGGCGGTCGTTCAGTTGGGGGATCATTGCGGCTGAGTATAGGGCAAAATTCCAGAGCGAAAGGACGGTGAGAGGTATCAAGAACAGACTCTTGAGATTGACTGATAAAGCTACAGAACACAGGAGGGCTACTTCCCAGCGGGGTCGGCCGCGGCGCGGTAGCGTGAAGGAGAGATACGGCGAGAAATCAAATGGCAGAAAGGATATACAGAATGAAGAGAATGGAGAGAATGAGGATGATGGAGACAATTATGGAGGCGATTATGGAGAAAATTATGAAGAGAGTGATGGAGAGGATGAATGGGACGGATAAAATGGGAGATAGGGAAAGGGGAATAAACTAAGAATCTTTGGCGAAATGGTTTCTAGCCGAACATTCCTTGTGTTTGAACCCTGTGTGGTAATTAGGAGCGACAGAGATGCATTTCTAGGAAAAGATCAGGAGTAAGATGATCATGGCAAGGAATTGCATGAATCGAGGTACATGTACAGACCCTTGAGTCCACTAAAACTTGTAATTCTAGTTTCCATGAGGTTGTATATCTATAGCTATACATGCATTGATTTTGATGTCACTCATAAATTCTCCTGGGAACGTAAAATTAAATTCTTTACTTCCAAAACAATATAGATCCATTGCTCGATCAAACCTCCTTATATTTGAATGACTCCCGACGTCCAGAAATATTCCTCAGGAGGAGGATCAACCTAACTCACACGTCTGGCAGCTCCATCGGAGGGATAAAATGACTTGGAGCTAGGGAAGTCAAGCCACTAAATAACGAGTCGCACACCTATCCAATAGCTGGATCGTAATTAACCGCAGATAACCTTTTATTTCTAGAGGAGGTCTTAACTTTCCACCAACGGCACTCTGCTTTTAACTACTAAAAATCAATAGTTTCATCTAACCTTCCAGAAGTCAACTCCAACACCTCCCACAATTACCCATCCGTCTTCTCCTTCTCTACCCTCTACACCTACAGCCCCTACCGCATCAGCAACACATGAATATCCCTCTTCCAACAACCTCACTTTTACGGCATCTCCAGTCATCTCCATATCCCACACCTTAACCTCCTGACTAACCGCAGAACTCACTACCCTCGACCCCATAACCACTATAGCCGTAACAGCAGAGGCATGTGCCCTTGGCACCATGAAGGTCTCAGCCCGCGCGCCTTCTTCTCCGCTAAACCTAACCCTCGTAATCCCTAACGCACAATCGTCGCCTCCGGTATAAACTACTACGTCCCCAGCCTCACCAACAAGAGCTTCAAAGGCCTTGACACCACTCTGGTGAACTCGTTTCGTCAACAGTATCTCTGGAAGTTTCACCATCTCTACCCGCCCTATACTCTCCTGCAGCAATAGTCCTCCGCGGGAAATGCTGAACCCAAAAGACTGCAAGAGTGACGAAAGATCGTAGACAGTGACATACCCATCTGTGGCGGCAATAAAAAGATGGACCTTGCCAGTGCTATGGTGTACAGTGAAGGTAGTTTGGAGGATACAATTAGTCTTGTACCGACCCTGCGACAAGAGAGTGAATGAGCGCGAGGCGAGTGAGTAGTAGTAAACCTTGATACTACTATCACTCAATCCCGCGCCCACCACAAACCCGACCTTTTGATCATCCTTTCCATGGACATCTATAACCCCAAGGCCCAGGATCCTCAGATCTCCGTCTACGCAAGGCCCTTTCGCCTCCCTTACTACGCCGCCATCCCTGACTCTCCAGACCGCGAGCTCTTCAACCCCACCACTAGAGAAGAGCCATCCCCCACACTCACTCCATACAAGCTGCTGAACACCCGTTGTGTGCCACTTTACAACTGCAATACCTTCTACGCTCCCAGTAATGGTGTTGACGGAACTAATGCGGATAAGCGTATCCTCTGCACCAGTAGCCAGGAGGCCCGTAGAAGGCGCAAACGCAATAGACTTGATTTCCCGTCCATGAAGTCCCAGTGTCAGAGGACGCTGGGGGTACAGCGGGAGTGGGGCAATATGAACCTATTTGAGGGTCAATGATTAGTCATGGGAGCCGAGTGAGATCTCATGACTACAGGGTGAATAGCTTACCTTTGAAGCCTTAGTCCAAACCAACCAGCCTGTGCTTTCCTTCCAATACAGGCACCAAGCGCGGTGTGCGCCCCCGCATTCTACAACAGCAATATCAACACCCTTTCCTTCGTCGTGCACAAAGAAGTTCTTGCCACGGAAGCCCCAAATGTGTTTATGAGAGGAAGATGAAGCGCCTTCAATAACATTACAATTTGTTGGTGCCGTAGAGTGGATTGTTGATAGTGAGGGCTCTGGGGAAAGAGCAAAGGTATGAATTGCGAGTCCACCGTTGCGGCCAACGGTCTGTATACTTACGGAGGAATTTGAGAGACTTGATGTGGGAGAAGGATAGGGTGTGATGGAGGTGATTGCGTCACTAGAGTGGATATTGTGATATACTCCTAGAAGGGCAGCAGTGGTACGGCAGTAGACAGCAAGTGCGCCATTTCGGGAACCAAGAAATATAAGAGGGGTTGTATTTGTGTGGGATATGTAGAGAGAGGTTGGAAGAAATCTCTTGGTGTTTTCCTCAACGGGGGAAATGAGCTGGAGAGGGGGTGAATGAGTGGTAGTATTGAGAACGCGAGTGAATGTGTGAAGGGTGAAAATAGTCGTGGAGAGGGTGGTTGTAAGGATGTTATAAGTTTTCCCAGAGTTTTCTGCGATGGGGGAAATTTGTATCTATTAGATACAGGCTGTTTGTCTAAGAATACATGCAAGAGCTTGTACACACCTCCTCCGGGTCCTATGCTAGTCCAAATACCACCGACCTTCCCGCGTTCCTCTTCCCCGCCGGCCTGCCACCACTCCACCTCTCCATTTCTATCAACATAGCACACTCCCACCTCTCCCCTGCCATTTCCAAGCGCTACCATTCCTTCATCCTCCCAGGATGCTACAAGGCTCCAACTACTTAAGCTCTCACATTGTGTGATAAGCGTCCATGCTTTTGTAGATAGATTATAGGTCAATAGCCTCCCTTGTGAGGTGGTGACAAGAAAGCGGTTTGAGTCCAACACGGCGTAAGATTTGAATGTATCCTTAGATCCTTTCAACTGATTCGTGCCAATATTCGAAAGAACAGTCCCCATATCCCATTCCTCTTCCTCCTTTCCTTTAATGGGATTGTATTCAACTAATCCTACCCTCCCATCTGCTCCCCCAGTCGCAAGGAGACCACGCTCAAAGTGAAGATCATAGGACCAAATATGTTTTCCGCTATGTAGAAGATATGTCGCTGTATTTATTAGCTCTACTGCAGGATTCTTCCCGGTAGGGACTCTAGTGCTTGAGGGGTTAAAGACCCAAAATTTAGATGTTAAGTCTTCGGAAATAGAGACGATCCTAATTTGCCCATTTTCTGTGAGATCTGGAAGAAAGCGGACACCCCAAATACGTGCGGTATGACCCCAGCCTAGGGAGACGCATTCACCGCCTTTTGTGGACGAGATATGGCCAAATCCAGTATTTTTAAGCGTGCCATCTCTCACATCTTCGGGGGTGCCTGAAACAGACAGATTGGAAACATCCCAGACACGAACTGTACGATCATCGCTGCAAGATGCAAGATAACGTCTCTCGGAATACAGAGGCGAGATGTTGACACCAAAGATAGAACCTTCATGACCGAGCAGTCGATAATGCAGTTCGGCGGAGCACTTCTGGTTGATGGGGTTTAGCACAGTTGACCACAAGAGGATCTCCCCAAATACAGTTCCGGCTGCAATTAGTATCCTTTCCGACTCTCCGCTCCTCGAGTTGGCAGGAAGGTGTAAGAGGTGAGCCGAGTAAAGCATGCACCGCTCTCCGGATGCAAGTTCGGCCCACCCTGACTCGGGGGTGTAGAGGAGGAGCGAGTTGTGAGCTGTGATCGCAACAATTTTGATACTCCCATTAGTTGTGGGAAGAAAGACTGCATGGAATATCCAATCCTGGGCTTTTATCTCATCTAGCTTCGGACCTGGTGAGAGCAGAGAGGAGACAGAGGTGGTGAAGATGCTACGACCACCCCAGAAAAGAACGTGTGATTCATCGTGGGTGAGAGTGATGCCATGAACTCGTTCGCGCGTAAAGACACGGACCGGCCCCAAGGATTTTAAAATACCTGATGGACCTGTAGAAACTACCTTAACGAACGGGCCTTCGCCGGCAAGGAGGAGCGGTGGAGAAGACTTGGTGTCGAGAAAGGCGAGAGAGGTGATGGGCGAGATGTTGGAGAGGTGCTGGGTAAAACTAGGAGTCAGTGTATAATAGGCTTAGGGATTTGGGCGCTATTGGGACAAGAGATGCTTCTTCCTCTGATTTACCTCCAGATGCGACCTCATTGTTCAGTTTTTATCGTCTCTTAAAGAGGGGGGTGGGGTGGGGTGGGGTGCGTTGAGTTGAGAGGAGGGGCAGTGGGGTTCTTAGCAACCACTTTTCTGTCTCAGCGGCACAGACTGCGCAGTGGTTACCCCTGCGTAACATCGAATCTCGCGATTCCAATCCGCATGCTTTTTTTGACTGCCTTTTCGCTACGTCGTAAGATTTATGTATCAGCAACGCATGTCAAATTCAGGACCCATGACATGCTCCTAACATGTCATGACCGTAAGCCAGTAGAGTTATGTAAGATTGCAGTCAGTTATCGCACGCGTCTCCTTCTTCCCCCTTCATCGTGTCTCCTTACCGAGCCTCATCCACGCGCACTCGACATACCGTATCTCTCTTTACCATCTCCTTCTATCTGTGCAGTCTCCACCCTACCCTTCCATTGTTCGTTCTTTACTTTACTTTCGAGGGTCACTCTTTAAATCTCTACTTGTCTAGCACTGGCCTCCTAACTCACTCGGCAACAAATGGGGATCACTTGGTAATGGTTATATATAATATTACATACGAGAGACGTGCATAAACAACAGCACAGCCTTAGTTGGCTGCTTCTTCCCAGACATACCATAGGTGTGCTCCCCCGTCACCTTCTTCCCCCTCTCGTGTCATAACCCCTCATGCCTTCTCCACCTTAAACCAAAACCCTCAACTTTTTCTTCTTCTACAACTACCACCTCACCCCGAATGCAACCCTCAAAGAAGTCTGCGCCGAAGGCCGGAAAAGTTTGGAACTTCGGCGACACAGGGACGCGCTGGTCATCTCGACGTGCGACTTCCTCAACTGGGGTCGTTCCCCGTCAAACTACAATCCCTACCTCTTCAAGCTCTCGCAGCAATCCCGCTACTAAATCTAAAGCTGACAGTGACGATGAAGAACACAGCGACAGTGAGCTCCCACAACCACGATCCATAACACCTTTCCCTGAAGGCGGGCAGGAAAGATCAACCTCTCAAGAACTACCAACCACATCCATCCCAATGGCGAACCGCCGCTCCCAAAAATCAACTACCCCATCTAGCCGCGTACCCAGCACTCCAAAGACCTCGTCGTCACTATCTCCAGTCCCCTCGCCGGTGCAAACCCCAGTTCACAATTCATATACTTCGTCAAGAAGGCATCCCACGAATATCGAGTCGGGGAATATGCGCCAGAAGAATCTTGATGCGCAAAGCGCTCGCTTTGAAGAAATTCTACGGAATCATATCGCAGAAATGAAAAAGACGCACGCTTATGTCGTTCGCAGTACTCTTACAGCTGCGCGACTCGATTTAAATTCGCGCACTCCTCCCCCGGGCATAATATATGATGAGACCTCACCATTTGAGGATATGAAATCCATTGAAATTGCCGTAACTGAGGCAAAAGATAAGAGGTTAGATGTCGGGAGGTTTAGTGTTAGGGTTCATGGGAAAGCGCACTCTAGTAGTGAAATTAAATTGGTGGTGCCGGCCACAATTAGTGAGACACCAAAGACGCTGGCGCAAATGCCGAAATACCACAGCTATACCACGCTCAGGAACAATATTCTAGCAGATGATGACGAGATAATGAGATATTTCCCGTACTTTGGAGAGGATGTAGAAGAAGATGAATTGCACTTGGAAGATACTTTTCTTGATAAGACAAAGTCGAGTGCAGAAGAGGGAAAGAACAGCGAATGTAAGATTCGGGATCGTAGACCCCTTCCCCTCAGAATTCGTCCATTTGTTGACTCCACTAGATGCGGCGCTGTACACAACTTTCATAAATTCGTTCTTGAAAGATTTGGACCTGTCACTACCTTCTGTAACACACTACCTTCTAACACCCCACCCGCGCAATGAGTCCATTCGTCGCGAGGCACTTCCGGATGACTTCGATCCCCAAGATCCAAAAGTGAGAGCTTGTCGTGAAAATCTAAAAGCAGATATTTCGGCCGATGAACTAGATAGAGCAGAAACCGCGTGTAGGGTGTTCATGCAAATAACTGATCTATCCATGTGGGAGATCATGAAGAGGGCAGATCAGATGGTAAAGGAACGTGTAGATCCACCAAGAACGGGGATGGGGGGTGGGAGAGAAGATGGGGGGTGGGGCGGGAGAGAAGGACGTGGTGTAATTGAAGGAGAAGACCCTGCTCCGTACAGTCTAGACAGTTATGCGGCCTTAAACTGTTTGCTATGTTTCATGTAAGTGGGCCCTGGTGACAGAATACCTGATGGAGTATTTGCTGACTTAACATAGGCACGAGTGTCCTTTTCACGGTAAATATACAAGATATAGACTCCCAAAGTCTCAATGCTAACATTTCATGATAACGTAGTGAACAAAGATCACGACCGTCTGGCTATGTCGACTATAACCGCCACAGGCAAAGATAAAACAATATTTAGATTAGCGACTAATGTTCAAGGATGGTCTTACGGTGCAAAAGGGGCAACGAAGGATCCGTGGGGCGGCAAGCAGGGTGAAGAGAACCTGTGCTCTGAGGGATGTTTTATGAAGGTGGGTTGGAGAGACTTGAGATCATTGTATGAAGGCTGACGTTTGAAGGAAATCAACAAAGAAACAGCAGTGACGGGAGTTTGGTCAACCGCGCAGTTGGAGCTATTGCGAAGCTCGGCAGGGGTATTAAAGATGAACCCCCGTTGCGCATGTCTTATCACCTGCGTAATCAACAAGCCCTGTGCCGAAATCTACCGTCAACTAGGGATAGAGAATCTTCTCATGCCTCCTGGCTGCCAGACCGAAGACCAGGTCGCAACAGTAGAACACAATGAACCTCGACCAAGCACGAAACGTAAGAAGCCCGCCGTCTCTTCTCTTCCCGGTTACCCGGCAGATTGCTACTTAACCCACGCCCACGAACGACGGTCCGCATTCCAAGCTTGCCGCCATCTAGGACAATGCACGGAAAGCTGCCCATGTGTCATCAGTCATGTCACATGCGAGAAATCCTGTATCTGCAGCCCCGATTGCCCCCGCCGATGGCGTGGGTGCGCCTGTAAAAGAGAAGGCCGAGCATGCGTCAAGGACTCCTGCATATGCGTCAAGGCCAATCGCGAATGTGACGTTGACCTTTGTCACTCTTGTGGGTCCGCGGAAGCATTGGATCCAGTTAACAGATATGAAGAAAGATTCCTCCGCGAAGGCTGCCAGAACGTATGGCTTCAACGTGATATGCCAAAGCGAACTCTCCTTGGCCGTTCTGCTGTTGCAGGTTTCGGACTCTTCGTGGGCGAGGACGTCAAAAAAGACGCCTTCCTAGGCGAATACAAGGGCGAAGTAATCACTTCTGACGAAGCTGACCGTCGAGGTAAACTGTACGACAAACGAGGCGTCTCCTTCCTTTTTAATCTTAACCTAAATCATGTAATCGATGCCACCCGTGCAGGCAACAAATTTCGCTATGTAAACCATTCAAAAACAAGTCCAAATTGCGGTGCAAAGGTATTCATGGTAAACTGCACACACCGAATCGGAATGTTCGCCAGGCGTGACCTCCGCGCCGGAGAAGAACTGTTCTTTGATTACGGGTACAACAACAAGCAGATCAAGTTTGTACAGAAGGAATTCGAGCCTCCTGAAATGATTAACCCCTCTGCAGCTGCAGGCGCAGCAAAGAAAAAGAGAACTAGAAAGAAGGAACTCGAATATCTGAAAGGTGGAAAGGGTACTACCGAGCGCTCCCGTGCTCGCATCACAGCCGCAGAGGCAAATCAAGCCAAACCTACACAGACAACCACCCTTCCAATTTCTACCGCGGCTACCAGAGTCCGCGACCGCTCAGGGAGAAGCTCAGAATCCACACATGAAACAACATCGGAAGAAGACTCGCACCATCAAGAAGACGAAGTTTCAGGTGAAAGCGTAGATGAAGAATACGAGCCAGAACCAGAGACGGAGGAAAGTCTAGCAGTAGCTGAATTAGGCAGCACGGCAGACGTGACAGAAATAGAGGAGTCTGAAGAAGAGCCGCCTCGAAGACCGAAGAGGGTACGAGGCCGAGGTCATTGAGCTGTAGGTTGAGAGTGCAATCCAGGCGGCAAGAGGCACACGTACAAAGAGAGCAACACTATTTTACGCCTACAAAGATTCACAGCCGTGAACCCTCACCTTAAACGGCGAATGCCCTCAAAGATGGCCGGCTACAGGTGGTTTATATTGTATGACTATAATTTTGTTTGAGCACTGAGCGTTCGCACGCGTTCGCGGGTTGATATGGATCTGTAATTTTATGGAATGATATATCGTTAGGCAGTAATAAGTATATTGAGAGTCTTTATTATCATTATCAGAGCAGTGTTTGCCACTAAATCACATCATATAGTAGGAGGTTTATCTGGGGCGTTATTCATGAATAGCCTAAATTTATTAACCCCCGATTATGCGGCCGTTCGTTCTTAGTAGAGAGCCAATGATACTGCCAAGCGTCACAGAAAATCACTCTTTAAATTCATCCCCGAGAACACCAGCAAAGTAAATTGTAAAACAAATCTCGAGTCCTCGAAAATACAAGTGGAGAAGCAAGTAATCCTAGGTCTCTTTTATTGTCGGTTCTGTTCTTCTTGGTTGTAGGTGTTCAGGTCCACAGATTGTGATCTGAGAAGATAGAGGAATATATGTATACCTTAGCTCTACTCCGGAGCCGGTAGAAGCTTATAAGGTACAAGCCGGCCAGCTAGCCCCAGAAGGGCCTTGCTAATTTCCGTAAAATGAGCTATTCCATACATATCTGGGGTTAGCTCCTCAGTTTAATGTTCATACATGTATGTACCGGCCAACCTCATATCCATCTTGTCAAATTGCAAAGTACATCTTATGTATCCTGTAGTGGTGTAAGGGTAAGTTTAATTTAGTGGGCAAAAGATGATTTCCGACTAAGCTTTACGTCTCTCTGCCAAACTTTACTTGCAAACCCATACCAGCTAGGCCCCAAAAATCGGTTTTCACTCGAGCCCTTGTAGATCTAGCTCCATTACCTTCTCCTAGACCTAGTGTCTAACACTAGGGCCGCGGTCACTCCGAACCCGACTGATCCAATTCGTCATTCTGCCCCAATAATATTGCGGTACTATCCCGTTGTGTCCCATTACTTTTGACAACTCGCAATTTCAGTATGCAATTGGGCTACTAATGGTAACCTTCTGACTCCCAGTACTGGCCTTTGTACCATATTTCAGCGCTAGGTAACGGTGAATCTATGGCGCTTGCATCAAAAAATTTAGCTTCGTCTCCGGCTGCCTCAATAAATTGGCAGTACTCATTTGTGGCGATACAAAAAGATCCCTAATACAGCCTTTGAGCTGTGAGAGCTGGAGTCTATGCTTAGCGGTGGCCAAATACTACTAAGAGATCCAGTCTGTTAGACCCTCACTTGGCTGCAAAACCGACAAATTTGACTGCCAGACCCCAAGATATAATAGCTTAGCCAATTATTAATGAATTATAATGATTTTGGTATCTTTGGAAAGAGAATCATCAGGTCTGTCTACCCTGGTTGAGATAGAAGTAAATATCAAATGGTCTATGGGTGTCGTAGAGTCAAAGATAAGCCAAAGTTCAAGATCTAATTGAATGTTGCAACACACAAATCCGCAAAAGAAGATGCAAAATTAAACAGCTAATAACTTGACCAATTCTTGCCTGATAAAAATAATTTGGCCTCCTTTTAAAGCGCATACTAGTATACAGTTCTACCCATCGCAATCTTAAAATCAGTAATTTCACTTATTGGTTGAGTCTTTTGTATCCCGATGTTTCGTGGGGTAAAGCTCTATTCACCCCACCTGCGCAAAGGGAAACCAGTGATCCAGCCCTGACTACTACGGGAGTCGGCTCTAGTACGCTGGATCGATCCAGCGCAAACCTCCGACAGAGCTCTGCACAGGTCGATGGCTATCTGTGGTACCTCCGGCTCTCCATTCCACCCCTTACAACTAGATCTGCTCGCTCTATGTCTACTCATCTCATACCTGTACCCAAAGCGTAAACCACATTCAGGACATCTTTCTTGTTTGATATATACCCTTCTTATGTGCCGACTATACATGGGTCTATCAGCTAGCAACCCCATCATAACTAAGGTCAATATACTTACACGACAAACATGAATCTTGGAAACACCCTTCCAACGCAACGCCTATGAGGATTCTCACCAGTGCCCTCATAGAAAGCGGGAAGCGGGCAAGTAAATGCAGCTACCATTTTAATAGGCTAGGTTGACGGAAATTTTTGTAGGTATTATCGGGTATCAAAAATAACCGATCACCTCACGACAACGTCGAAATCACTTCAGGTCAGGATAACTCAACGACCAGGAGAGCAATTGAGTAATTTTAAGTCTCCTAAACGGAGTTAGGTGCTTGGGGGGAATGGAATTACCCTTCTGACAGCGTACATGATCTGTAGTAAGCCTCATGTGTGTTGGGTCGATGTGGGTTGGGGTCGTGACAGGCGGTATTTGGCTTAGTTTTACCCGAAGTCATGTCAGCGGAGAATATATGAGCGGCGTCTTGTGTTTATGACACATGGCGCTTAAGTCACGTCTTGAGCAAAGGTGAAATATTGGTCACAATCATCCAATCGTGGTAGATATCCTAAATGATTAGAAAATTAATAGAGGTTCTGAGATAGAATAAGATATAGTGTGATAGAATCATAGTGTTTCTGTAACAGAGATGGATTATTTGAGGGATGGATTATTTGAGGGCCGGGCTAGTTTATGATGTTAAGAATATGAGCAAGTGAGGGAAGAGAGGGAGACGGAGAGAGTGGGTGAATATGGGATTTTAAGCCCCTTTCCATAGCAAGGGCACGCCCCTCCCTCCCTCCTAGCCCCCAGACTTCCAACCCGAAACAGATAATTAACCAGTGAAATCTAACGTCACTGTGGCAACGAGCTGACCAGAAAACGATGTTCCATGCGCGAGTTGGTCTATAAAAGAACCCACACAAGCCGGTACCAAGGGCGCACAGTTAATTACATGTAGCCACAGCCGAGAGAACACATATATGTATCACTGAAACACAATGATCAGCACAAAGGCGGGTCGTGGGATTTCACCCTCAAATATCCTTCAATCCACATGACTCTTCTGATAGATGAATTACACGACCGCTTTGACTACTGGTTTATAGGGCTGCATCTATACGGAAACTCGTGGCTTCTAGCGAATAGTATGATGGAGGTAAGTAAGTGCCTCTATAGATCTACATCATAATGGTCGTGCCGATACTTTAGTTAAAGCTCACTCAGAGGAATGCCACTGTTCCACTGACAAATACATGGCAGATCACGCAGATACTCTTTTAGATCAACGTTTGGCTACTCCCTTGAACATTTCGTAATTAGTTCAAGCTGGCGGTGGGTTCACCCTGAGGACAAAACCAAATCAATTGAACTACATATGTAAGATTCGCTCTTGACGCCAAGCCAGGCGAGTGAGAACATGTGAGGAGAGGTGTTCCAACCACTTGTCAACACACTACGTACTAGGTCTGATTCAATTGCTTGGTCGAACACTTTACATCTCTAAAACTCATATAGCGCATTCTATACAGGCTCCTAACGGTTATATCACGCGTACGCCTGGAATTTGGTCCTCCGTTGCAAATACCCCCACTCAGAGGAACGTTCAGTCCCAATAAACTCTTTCCTCCAAAGCCTCACCAGTTATTCTATACAGCTGACAATAATTATAGGCGAATGGGCAATCCTCAGTCGATCCGCGTTCAACATGTGGACCAGTAAAGAATCGAGTCCTGCTTTAACGATGCCCGACACGATTCAAGACAGAAACCTGTTTGACAGCATCTGGGTCTGTTTCACCCACGGGTCGGGAGGTAGAATCATTTGGGACATTGTTCAGGTTTAGGGTTATAGTGGGTCCTGGTAACGCTAAGAAACAAACGTTAACAAACAGCATGTGCTAATTACTAATCACGGGTTCCAACAGAAACTTAATTTCAACGATCCCAAACTAATAATAAGGGACCTTCCTAAACAGGATCCCACTACTATTACTGTGCGTCCGGTCTGGATATATCATGTCTACCATCACGTAGGGTCCTAAACAAATATCCGTGAGGATGTTCGGCAAAGTAAATTTTATTATTTCATCCACAATTGCAAATAAAGTACGTATCTTAGTGATTTTTGAGGCATGCACTGCAGCTAATTGACATTAGATATGAGAACTCAAGTTCTCAGCTCTCATGCTCACCGTACTATAGAAAATAACGATAACAACCTAATCACACACAAAACACCGCCAAACGCCTTAAAAGTAAAATCCCGCCATCCAAAACTTATATACGCAACCTATTATAACTACCCAAGGATGTTACTGTTCCAGCGACTTTCTCCCCGAATCCGTCCTTGGCCTTTGCCCATCCCCCGACTCCAAAGCCTCCATGTCCCCCACCGGGGCCCTACTCACAATATGTTGCTCGCTCTCGCTGTCCATCGTGACAAGGTTGTGCTGGAAGCTCCTCGAGGTTGGCGACAAATATTGTAGCGGGTATGGGCGTTCACTGCTATTGCTTGGGATAGCGTCGGACGAGTTGAGGCCGCGTTTGAAGTATTTCCGGAAGAGAGGTTTGATCGTGGAAAGGAGCTAGCGACGATGCCAGCTTGTATCTCAACTCTAGAGGCTGTGAGCATACTTAAGAAGGTTAAGCTCTACTGCTGAGTAGGGGCGAGGGTGGGAGAGGGCGGCTGTAGGGGAGTAAGTACATACATGGACCAGGTTGCGAGACCATTGATGTCGTCTATGAGGTGTTATTAGCAGAGATGTCTTTGTACGATGTGATATCTCGTTAATGATCACCAGATGTCTACTTACAGAGATAGTCACCCTTCTTTCCAAAATCGACAGAAAGTGTAAATTTTACGACGCTCGCCAAGCTTGCACTGGAATAGGTTAGAAAGACTGGTCTTTACATTGAGAGACGTGGGGGAGCAGGCAGGTGAGTTACAAAGTGCCCAATCCAAAGACGCCATACACCGCCATTTTCTGTCTGCGCGGCATCTGCACATTCCACACCATAGCAACAACCAAAAACAACAGTGCAAAATCAGTGGTAATGTTACACGCTACAGAAAGCGCCCTCAACCATATCAGTATCGGAAGCTAAATAAGCGAGGGTCTAGCGGGAAAAGCATAATAGCTTACCACTATGCGAATAAGCCAAAACATTCATGAATTGCGGTGACAAGCATTTTCCCTGAAGGCTCTTGTCCCATGCAAGATTAAAAGGGTGGCACTGCGTCAAGATAAAAAGAACATTATTATTGTGTAAGTCACCATGAATACGATTATGAACCAGGCTATCTTTGTGTAAGTTTTGTAAGGCGAGAGGCGGCGAATAAAGAGGGAAACGCTGATTTTGGCGATGCAGACACCGGGGATGTAGAGGAGTTGGGTGATCCAGCTGATCTAGTGGTGATTCCTTCTCGTTAATCTTTAAAGGTACTCGTACTAATATTAGGATTGGAGAAGGGGTTTAGTATACCATTAAGCCAATTTTGTACTCATTCGGGGGCACTTTATCGATATGTTCACCAAAACCAAAGAACATACCCACCATTACAAGGACACAGAATGAGTTTCCAAACACCTATACATAGGCCAATTAATTCTCCGAAAACACACCAGAATAAAGGAAGAACAGAGAAAACTTACAGTCGCAATAACAACCGCCCAGTCATCAGGGCCAAAAGAACGAACCACTTTCAACCGCACCCAGACTCGAGCTGGAACGACTATCGTGGCGAGCACTAACGACAAACAGGCTACTAACATAAGCTTATTTCCTCTGTCAGTGTTATAATAGCCACCCATCCTTCGTTCTTCTTTAGTCTCCTCTCTCCCAACCCTTCCAATCCTTCCTTCCTTCCTTCCGTTTGAGCTTGAAATCCCCAGAACTGCTAATCGTAAAACCTGTGGCTGTTCCTGCAACTGTATCCTATAACGAACGTCCGGTAGTCCCACTCGTACACTTCCTGAGAAGTGTCAAGAGAGTGGAATAAAATCGAACGATGATGCGACCCCATAGCTTTCTTGTCCTTTTTAACCTTAGTCGAAATCCATGACCCAGCATTAAGTTGTATGGCCCATGAGACACACCGGGCCCTGGACGCTCTGCCGATTGGGACTCCGGGGGGTCTCACACAACCTTTTTCTCAGGAAAGCAGGGAAATGGGCATTTGTTGGGTCGGACACCCGACTCCAAAATCCCGGTATGTATCAGATCGTATCGTATTTCACACCACTCTACCTTTATAGCAACCCGAGCCAATTGGGGGGGGGGGGGGGTGGGAGAAATAAAAGATGGATCAAGCCGCAATTTACCCCAGAGAAAGAGGGCCAAAAGAAAACTGATGCCCGAGCACTCTAGGAGGAAATTTTAGCGACAGCTACATGTATGGACGGACGGATTGGCTGGACTGTGTGGCACACTGTCAATGGTAGTGGCGGAGAAAATCGGAAACAACTGCAATTGCAATTGCAATTGCAGGCACCGGCCAGTGTAAAACATCTCCAGACCTCGGGCTCGGGCTCGCCTAGGACTTCTGAACTGTTGCACGTTTGGGGCATATGTATGTAGCTAGCTACATACTGGATGATCTTATTTTTCCAACCGTCCTAATAATATAAACTCCAAATGGACGAATTTCGGAGTCTCAACCGGAATTTACTCCACGTGGTAAAGCAGGCAAGTAAAATAACCTCCTTCGTACTGCTTGCTGGTGCTGATGCTGTATGCTGCTAGAGTAGAGTACTAAAAAATCCGCAACAGCCGGTGTGCTATTACACTCGACTCAGGTCAAGCATCCAGAATCCCAGTTATACTGAGTAGAGTACCTACTTTTTAGATATGTGGTTGCACATAGCTACATACTCGACGTCGCGTCGGAAGTCGTTACCCCATTGAGAACGAACCAGTTGCCCGGGTTGATGGCGCCCGAAATGAATCCTCCTCAGCTTTTAAATCTATGCCATGGCAGTAAGCGGCGGAGGTTTTTCTTTTCTTTCCTCCCTTCCTTTCTGTCGCTGAAGTAACGTCTGTGCTGTGTGGTAGAGTAGAGGGAAGTAGGACTGGGTTAACAGTGTATATAAATGTATCTTAGACAATGTGTGTAGGAGAGTTGTGTTACTGGCTCGGAGAGTACATTATGTAGGCACCTCACCTTTTGTGGTACTCCACTCTACTGTCTCTGCTCTCCATATAGGCGCTGCCGTGCCTGCGCGGAATTTGAGGTGATCTAGAAGGGGGGAGAATTGTAAGGCAAAGAAGCATCTAAATCTAAATGTGCCGATATGCACCACCCAGCTGCTTGCCAAGTATCTGCACGATGTCAAGCCAAGGAACTTTCTACACGCTCTAGCTTAAGAGTTACATACATGTAGCTAACTGAAAAGAAGGATAAACTCCCCCTCCTCCTCTTCTTGCTCCTCATGCTCCTCCTCCCCCTCCCCTCCGGACGTCAGCTAGACAAAATTAACCGGCCTCCAGTAGAGTAGAGAAGCTGATTACTCAGAGAGGTATCAATTTTAGCTAGCTAGTACCAGTTAGCACCCGTACCCCCATGGTTCCATCTGTCTACATATATACTACATCCGCCGTTCGCCTTACGGACATATGTACTGTACCTTCATCTACTCTCCTATCTATGCTACTGCAAACCCACGGATAAGCCCTGGCCCTGTCCTGACCCCCCCTTCCTCGCCCTAGAATATCCGCTCCCACACACACCCCACATCTATTCGAAACCCGTCCCGCTGAAGTATCAACTCTGGTACTCTAAAGTAGGTGCCTACTGATTCAGAGTGGGCAGACAGATCAGCTACATATATACATTAGTCCATACATAAGCTAGCTAGCTACAATCAGCTGCGCCCTACCTACATGTACACACTCTCATCAGCTCCCTAATCTCCCGCGCTCGGGCCGCTGTGATCTACACATGTACTCTACAAAGCCGGGGTTGGCTATAGTACATTGGGGTTTCTAGGATAGGTAGTCCGGCGTTATTATGGATAGACAGGCGGGTTGTGCTGTGCTCACCGATGGTCCATGTGTGGGTAGGCGAGTAGACTAGCTTGGGAAGCTTAAAGTGCTAATGTGGGTAATCGACCCAATGGCCTGGTAATATGAGCTACCCCAGCCCAAGCTATCCGTGTGGAAAGCTTAATGTCAGGGGATGGAGGTCTGGCTTTCTTTTGTTTTTGTTTTTGCGTTTTTTTGTTTTGCACTTTCCCGCACAGTGGGTGCGGGAGATTTTGATGGAAGATGTCTCGTGTTGTTTTGCGAATTTTAAAAGGGTGTTCGTCTATTCTGGGAGTGCGGTAGAGTATGGTAATGTATTTATAATATGATGCAAGTAACTATTATACTTGGTAGGGTACGCACCAGTAATCATGACAATATGGTGTTTTGCAATAGCGCTTGAGACATTTTATTCGTTTGTTGATCAGTTGGATATTGCCGGAACTAATACAATCCATACTTCATACATACAATAGTAGACATTATAGCAAAAAAGAAACACGAGTAGAGAAGATTCGTTATACAACTGCTTGTATCTTCGTTTCACATCCATCACATACTCATATCCATATCCATGTTCATGTCCATCAGTCGATTATTCGTAAGTATAGCACAAGGAGCCCCCAATGTTCATAACATCATAGATGGGCACCTGGTCTGCTAGCACGCCCACATCAAGCATGTAATCCAGCGTGACATTTGGGCTTGCAACTGTGTAGTTCCTTGTCGGGCCCGCAATCTCATACAGGCGCTCGTCAATGTTCATGTTCTGCCACTGCCACCAGAGCCTATCGAGCTGTCCGTGGTGAAGGTAGAACAGGGGGTCTATATATCGCGGCTATTAGTACTTAATCACTGTTTAGAGTTGGGAGGGAAAAAACTAACCGCCAGGACTAGCAAAAAGATCCACCATCGTACCGCCTGTTCCACCATGGCCAGAACCGTGCTGTCCAATGTGCTCCATGTCGTTCAGGAGTCCCTCCAAACTCTGGCGGAACCCATCGAATGTGGGGAGGCTCATGGTCGCATTCATGGCACTGGGTGTGAAGTATTGTTCCGGGAACTGGGAGTGAAAGTCCCTAGACAGGCAGTGGTCGTTACGATCAAGGCTATCCGCGGGCCCAATGTGCACAGTAATGTTGGCAAAGGGCCCATCAGTGATACACCCCCCGCCGGTTCCGCCGGGGAGACAGGTCACAGTTACCTCGGGGCAGTCGACGTAGACGCCGTTCCCGCCGAAGCCAGTGGTAGGATCCCAGATCTCCGAGCCAGGCCAATCCTGATAGTCCTGTGTCCAGTCCCAATATCTGGTTTGCTTTATTAGCTGTCTTGAACTGCGCAGTGGAATATGTATATGGAGAGGTACTCACGGTTGACCGAGCGTCCAGCCACATTCTTCACGGATCGCCTTCTCATAGACGGATACAAAGTATCTGTGCCATGGCAGGAATTGCCCAACATAGTGTATGAACTCTGTTGCCAAAATATGGCCACCCTGGAAATCATCGAACCGGCTGACGGCCCCGGGGACGTTTGCAGTGTCGATTGCAGGCAGAGCCATCATACATTTGACGGCATCTATGTAATCGGACTTCTGCTCAGTAGTAAGAGCACGCCTACCAACAAGTAATCAGTCAAAGCTCCCAAACACCAGAAGAGCGGTTGCTTGAATACCATTCCTTCCTCACAATGGGGCTCGAGCATGTCCCATAAGAGTAGTCTCCGTCACCATTATCATCACCACGAGCAACAATGTGTCTCGAAGTAGTAGGAGCGCCGAGGCCGGTTGACGCAAGTCCTGCAATGAGGAGAAATGCGGTACTGAAACTGATCGTCTTCATATTTGGGAGAAGGAGATATCTGATATGAATATATACTATATAACTCTGGACCGCAGATGTTATTGTGCTTGAGACCTTTCTTTCCTTCCTTCTTGTCCATTAATTGACCTCCTTATATATACCAATTTATAGGTTCTTCTGGGTACCTAAGTTAACTAATCTCCTTTTTGCACGGGGCGCAATGGTGCGCTAGCATCTGTGTATTTTTTCTCCTTCCAGTCGTAATATTTTTACTTTAGTTTAGTGAGGTCGAGTCTACCTCAAAGTCATCTCTTTGCAGGCGCCGGATAATTCCAGTTCATGGTCTTGTGCTACCCTACTCTCAGTAGAAATCACGCGTGGGATAATCTTCCCGAAATGTAGGTACGCGCACAAGCGAGGGAAAGAACCGATCTGGTCTGCGGCTACGCCGTTCCGAGACTATCCTGTGCCTCCCGACTACAGTCTGTATGTAGAGTATCACTGTTTTGGGATTTACTCTACTTTTTCGGAGATTACTATTCTGCAGACTTTTCTTTTGTGCGCAATTGATCACCAGTCTTCCTTCTCAAATAGAACATGAGGCGTTGGAAGGTGGAGTAAGGCTTACATTTAGTGATATGACGAATGACTACAAGTGGTCGTCGTGGAGAGGCGTCTGTAGCCAGTCGTCTGCTTTAGAGCACTCAGATAGAGTATGTATACGCCAATTGCAATGTAGAGAATAGTACCGAGTCAACATACCTACCTCCTACCACATGTAGTAACCATACAGCTAGATACTCTAAAGTACCCGACCTACAGGTACTCAATACGCGTATACTCTAGCTGAGCACTGTGCTCTATTATCACGACTAAGGTACTCTGCTATAACTATAGTTTCCCTAGTATTAGTACCGTGGTTGCTGATCCCTACATGCCTACATGTACCTACCAGGTCCTCCCGGCAAGCCGGCAGAATCAAATTCAAAATTAACTGAGATATTTACCATACCTACTGCATGATACATACATGTACGTGTATCTCCTTACTATAGCATACTAGATCGAATGCCTTGTAGAGCACTGGGCCATTATCTATACCCTGCTGATAACTAGTTAGTGTAGCATCCATAGCCAACCAGTAACGAGTGTGGCATTGTATACATGTATACATGTACCTACAAAAAATACTCAAAGAGTTTAGTACCAGCTTAAAAAGATCTCAAGGGAAGGACATGGCTGCTTACTGCGCCTCTTTGGTACTCATATTCACCACAGCTACCCGGGTACTGGAAGCCCTGCTTTGATCACCCTAGTTAGTTCCCCGCATGTGAAATGCCCCGCGTCATCTAGAAAAGCATATATATCCTAATAAAAGAAATCAGTAGTACTCTATACGGAATGTACAGAATTGGCATACCTGCGCGCTGCTACCGCATCAGCTAGGTAGAAATTGACCCCTCATCCCAGCTCTTCCAGGGAAATATCTATTTTATAATAGTAGACTATCTGAATTCAGAGCGTTGATTAATAAAGTTTGGTCGGTAGTATTTTGTGAGCTATTCTCACACGGGCGTGTAACAAGCACGTACGGCCTCTCTACCCACTTTAGTAGCTGAACTTTGAACTACTATCGCGAGTGACCCTTTATGATTGCATCTGCCCACACAATCAAGTGACGTGTCGGTTGATTTTTTCGGCTATCCAAAATGCCCTAGTACTTTCCAAAATACGCAGCGGTTTATAACACTGGCTATAAAGAACTAGGGCTTGGCTGGAAGTGAAGATATAAGATTCAAATGGCACTGTGCGGCTATAACTGCACAGGAACTCCATCCCGAGGTACCCTGTGAGCTGAGTTCTCATAATGACTCCTTGTTGTCCTTGTGATGGAAAATAAACTTCATAAGAAAAAACCTGATATGGAAGCCTTAGCCTGAATCAGAAAGAAAAAACGCTAACATCTAGACGAGTTACGTAGACGTCCCAAATCATATTATCATATATTCAGTAACGGATTCCGTGCCGTTGAATGTGTATCTCGGCTGCCCGTGAATATTTCATAAAGTGAATTACGCTGAAGTTTCCGAGAGGTATTATCGGTGCCAAGTTATGCAAAATATATTAAATAAATCTAATAGTAGTTCGGCGGGGGATTTTTATTACGCCGACGCCGGCCGGTATTGTTTGTTGCCGGGCGCTAATATAATTTGCATGCCAAGTCTGTCAATACCGCTGCACCACGATGGTTAGTAGTTCATTAATGTTTCCGGCAATCACTATGAACTAGTGCATTTGGTAACCAAACTTATTTGCGATCCCCTAATAAACATATTACGTACCTTGTCATTTCTAATGCTGATAAAGTATGAATAATGTGTAAAGCAGTTACCTTGTAACAAGCCTTCAAGGCTAATAACTATTTTTTCGGCCATGGCATGTACCACAAATAAACAAGACGAAGTATAAGTTAGTGGAGCATCTAGACATCGACGAAGCCATAGATGGCGATATAACACAGCTGTGGAGCTGAGAATATTAAGCCTTGAATGCAAGCTCGGGCCTTTTGTGGCACAGTTACTAAAATCCTCGAGGCGTAATCATGGGACTAAAGCTCATCAGCGTCTGCCTACTTACCCTTTGCCCAGGTTTAGTTGAGAGACAGAGATACGAACTGCATTGCACAAGGAATAACCCTTGGTTGGTGGCTCAATTCAAGACACACGAAACCGCCACACGCAATGCCTCTTGTAATTAAAATCAGGTGATGATCGACAAAAGTTGGGGGATGGCTCGATGCCGAAAGACTGAAACACGTCGTTAAGTGAAAAGCATTGTCTATTTCAAATATCACAAACTCAAATATCGAAGGTGAGTCGGCAAAGGCACCCCCAAAAGAAATCACTCACTGATGAGGGGAGAGGATCAACTCACCACTCACAGATCACAAATAGACAGCCTCACAAGCCACTATCACGTATAACCTATTGATTGGTAGAGAAAGCTTAATAGTGATGCAGTTTTAAGGCACGAAATATGCTTTGTAGTTCAGTTTGTACATACTAACAACTCAAACTGGTGCAAGTGCATCAAAGATCTAGACGAAAGTGAAGTCCGTGCAGACCAAGGTATCAGATCTTCAAAAATGCCAAAGCCATGCACATAGTGATTTCAATACATCTAAAGTTTGAAAATCCAGCATTAAGTCGAGAATAATTTAGCACGGTATTGTTGCCCCACGGCCGGTATTATAACAGCCTGACTGCATGATACTCAAAAACCTGGCCAGCTGGTTGGCCGTGATAAACAGCCGAATAGTTGGCGGAGAGTTTGTCCGGTCCTGATGCTAATCGCGAGCTCCCGTGTTTCTATATCAACTCCCCAGGAATAGTCCAGCCAGGATTATGGGTTCTTTGAACCCTCCTCAGATAATTGAGACATCGTATGTACCACATAGAGTACTGGGTGCCCACACTGGCCTAACGTCAACTGTCAGCACCGGCTGCTCTGTACGGGGAACTCTCAAAAATAGCAGGAATTATAGGAAGTATGCTGAGTGTTAGTAATTTCGAATGCTGCAGGGAACTCTCTTGCTAGGTTTGCTGACAACTACTAGAAATTTATACATGGGATTTTGATAGTGATGCTAAGAAACCCTGTACGAATAGTCTACACCGTTCAGACAAAGGTTCTACTCCAACCGGTATAGCCGTAACAGTGTATATATTCATTAGTCGGAACGAAGTCCACACATCATTACAACGTAAATGAAGCGCGCCAGAACTTATATGCATGCAGAAAACATATCGCCGGTACGGATTTATCGGTACGCGGTGACCGGATATGCACGTCGATAGGGTCTACGAGGACAAGTAAACGGATGTACTTCTCTCCTGATCACATTCTCTGATCTTTTGTATTGTCTATACATGGATATCTCTCGGCCGAATTGTATCGTGCGTGTCAGTCGTGCGAGAGAACGAGTGAGAAAGATCCTCTTGGCTCAGGTAATGCCAATGAAAGGGGGGGTTAGATGGCATCTGAGAGATTATATTGAACTATGTGAAGTGTAGAAGTTCGGATCGATGGGCGGTCCATAGTCTCCTACGGTTCAAAGTATGACATGTGTTTGCATTGGCTGTGGAACGCGTTCAAGTACCACAGCTTGTTAACCCATGCTGTTTCCAGGGTTGATGTTGGTAGCACGTAGCACGGGACGGCCGTGACAAACATGTAGTGAAAAGTGACGCTACATAAACTTCTAAGCATTCACTTGACGGTAAACCTTTGCTGCCGCCAAACGACCTTTCGATATGTGTTCTATAACCCACCTATATAATTCCTAGGAACTAAGAGAGAATGAAGCTCCAAACCAGGTTGTTGCTTTTTTTTTTTTTTTCTTTCTTCAAGCTCGGCTTGAGAATTTTATCAATTCCCAGGCTGCGCACTATGCTCTATTGAAGAATGGAAATGGCGCTATCCACTCACGAAAGGGTCTTTCCTGGAACATGCCCTACCCGTAAACCCAACAACGAACTGATAGACCATGTGCCACGGAGAAAAATATTTGATGTACAACGCTAGGATAAGCTATACACATGTACATCTATAGTTAGTTATCGAGAAAATTAAAAGGATACATATCTAATTGACCAATAAACGCTCATATTCTCACCAAAATATATCGGGACCGGTGACGAGAATATGGCTGAAGTATCGGAGCCAATTGCGCGTCAACTCCGTAAGACCATTCCTCAACGGTCTGGATAGAGTTCATGTGGTCGATTTCACGTTCGTTACGATACAAAAGTCCAGTCAAAATTTGAGTAATCCGCCCCATTCCTTATAGATCAAACGATTCACGCAAACCTGCTCGTCAACCTGTGGCCCTCTAGAACTGAGCAAGATCATCAGATATATAAATTAACTAGAACACAACAGACACCATAGACACCACATGATTTAGGTATCGTTGTTTCCTGAACATCGGATACAATCTGTGGGTCTAACTTCCGGTGTTGAAACCCTTTCAATATCACAGCTGCGGGGCTCCAGCTGAGCAAATGACCTGGCCGAGTCTCCAGGCTAAGATGTGACGGCCTAACTCGAGTTGAAGTTATATTATCTATCACAAACGAAGCTGATTATAACTTCGGCTCGGTTAACATTTTCACGGGACGATAAGAGGCCACCAGGAATCGACGCTGCTGTAAAACTCATGCCATAGAAGTACACCTTAAGTTAATTAATGGCCAGAACTAGCTATAGAAGCCATATAATTCCCTTAACGAAGTTTACAGAGGCACTAGAATCGTATTCTTTCAAAGAGAATCAGTTATAGCCAGTCTAACCATTAGTGGATATTATGAGACATGTATAGTCCGTCTGGACAAGGGACTACTGCGTTTAGATCTGTAAAGGTCTTCGGAAAACCTTTTACGGCCATAGAGTTCGAAGGATCACTTTGGGCATGTAAAGGTTGGACACTGCATTTACTGGAGGATGCAGCTTTGCCAAGATATCCGAGTGATTGTCCATGACCGAAGTGGGAGGATTCTATCGGGCCCTATGAAGAACCGGGGGATAATAGAGATTTGAAATGAACAACCGCTTATGTTTAATATGCTGATATTATACGTAAACCCCGGATTGGTGGGCGGGTCAACTCAACCAGCCGTCTTATTCTCCCTCGTCCCTTCGTAACAACTGTCCTAGTTGGTGATATCTACGAACCATAGCTATATGTATAGTTCAAGCAAGACAACTCCCCCCAATTCTTCCCCTGCTTATGAGTTTTATTAAGCCCCGAGAATTCTCAGCCGCAACGACCTCACAAAATTTCTCGGGACTTAACTAACCCGCGAGTACATAGTTTTCACTATTATTTGGGATTACAGTGTGACGGAGCTCGGTTTATCGCTAGCACTCGTGGGCTGCAGCTGCAGCTAGGTCGTCTGCACTTGATCATGAACGAAAAATTAAACAGTTGAGCCGGTAACTAGGACTTATGTATGTAGAGATAATGCTGTAAATTAGGGTATGGTTTAGCTCTCTGTCCTAAGACTTTCTGATACTCTTGACAAGTGCAACTCTCTACAGCTCTTCACACCTATGTCAGCATATCATCCGGGTGCCATACTATATGTTTCTCATCGTAACCAGCAAATGGCATAGCAGAAACAGCATGTTCACCAGCTAGCTTCACCTCCCTGGCTTTCCTCAGACCTTCTAGAATTTCCAGCCCCTCACCCGATAGTTTCCACAACTCAAGCCATTGTTTCCTAGTGTCTTCGTCTGTAATTTCCTCTCCAAAGCTAGAAAGATTCCAGTCTGGAGGAAGCCCAATCATTTTGTACATCCATATTCCGAACTCTTCGTCTCGAGCATGAGCGTATTTAAAGTGACGTTTCAAATCATAGATGTCCCACCGCTCAGTACCGTAGTTGCTGCTACTACTGCCGCAGAGATTGCACTGAATTGCTTTAAATATGGAGTGCTCGGTATCTTCTTGTATGAATAGAGCGCATCGGAAGAATGATTCACAGTGTGGCTCCTTGAATCCGTCAAATTTGATATACCAGTCGAGGCTAAGGCGGAACCATAATGCTAGGCGCTGGTAATTGTGCATCATTCGGAACTCGTTCATCTTCCAAAGAATCTCTCTCATATTGTCTGTAACAATTTTAAATCCCTCATCTTGGTGCGGGACCGTCGCTGCGTACCGAATTGGTAAGATTCTAGGCCATGGTGCTGAACGCCAACTTCCATGCCATTGTCGTTCATGGTGATGCTGGGCCTCTATGTGGTCAAATAATTCCTCAAAGCCAAGTCCATCGTCGTGCGAATCACAGTATATACAGCAGTAAATCATCCTCTCGTTAGTAGGTATAGATACACGGCTGCATATCTCATCGGCTGTATTTTTCGCCGAGGTAAGCGTTAAAGAACCCCCTGCGCTTGATCCAGGCATTTCGGACAACGATTCAATAACATATTTCAAAGCGCGGATGACGACACAAGGTTTGTCTTCTACCATCATGGTGATATTGTAATTCTTTTTTGATAAGAACTCGTTGATCAAGTCGTATATAAGAGTAGGTAGCTTCTTTTCCTGGCATTCCTGCATTTTAATCCCTATTAGTATATTTTACAATATATGTTTTAGCTTTGATCTTACCGCTGGAGTTTCTAATTTGGTGTCAAAACTTTCTAACTCTTCATGTTTATCATCAAGATGTTCTGGCACTCCTTGCTTGATTTCAAGGTGATCTGGGATCTTTTTCTTAACTTCAAGCTGACCCGGGACCTCCTGCTTGGTGTCGACACATTCCGGGACTCCTAGGTCAATTTCGGCATGTTTCAGTACTTTCTCCTTCATGGCAGATTCTAAGAGTCTTTCGGCATCATCTGGTTCTTTGGGTTTCATTTTAACAACTCTGCCCTCGCTCCTCATGCCCATCCCCTTAGTTAACACCTTTTTCTGATGCACTGGCGATTTGACGTTTGGGATTTTGAATGAAAAAGGACTTTTTGCTGTAGATGGTGCGGACTGCGCGAGTGCGTCAAGGGAGTTGGTCGAGGGGCCCGAAGGGCTCTTTGGACGGGATCGTTTCCCAACCATGGTTGTATCCAGCGTGATAGGAATCAACTATTTGCTATGGTATCTATAGATGTCTGTGTGGATGGTTCGAGAAGCTGACGAGATAAGCCTAGGCTGCGAAAGACGTTTTGAGCGTTTAAGGCCTGATGGGCTCTTATACCCTCGTGTACAATTGGGCCAATGCTATGAGAATGAAAGGAGTAAGTGATTCTCGTTCCTATCGTACAATTGTGAGGGCTGTAGGGATGCAAGGCAGGGGGGTAGGAAGAGAAGGGAGACTGTAGAACTGAAGAGTTGGAAATAGTGAAACAGTACAGATGGGGGTGATGGCTTAAGATGTATGAAGAGCGTGGAGGGGGAGGAGAGCAAAAATAATGTCGAGCATACATACATGTAGTAAACACAGTACAGGCCGGTGGCTACAAGTTAAGCAACACCACCACACCACTAATTTATACGCTAGCCACAAAAGATACTACACTAGCGGAGCATAATTGGTATTTTGTATAGCCAGATGTCCCCCAAATCTAACCATTATAATCAACATTCAAAGTTAACCTATGAAATTTGTACAAAGGTCACAAGACTGAGGCCACAGTATTGAAGAACTTGTAGGAGCGTACCATTTGCTTGGTTTAAGGCTTGCTTACTCTGAATAGTACGACCGCAAATGACTTGTATCCAGCCAAATACAGAAAGCTCTGTAGGAAACAGAGTGATATCTCCTGATTCATAATTTAAACTCTTTTGCAGGTACAAGTGCTCAAGCTCTGTAATTCTTGGACCATGTAACCTAAGACTTCCTGTGTTTGACCGCTTTGTCGCCTACCCTACATTTAAATGTGTGGATATGAACACTCTCCTGTCCCATTCCCCCATCCAGTTCCCTTCCATCCCATCCCATCCCATCCCATCCTCTCCTATTCTATGCTTCTCGTCCCCCTACCCATTCTGCGGAATGGCCACCTGATGGTCCCATCACAAGAAATCACTCGCATATGTTCACCAATCACATGCAAGTTCTGCGACATCAAAATGATCAAAAAAACGCACGCCCAAAGGCAGAATTCCAACAGAACGTTCACATTAAATCAACCTTAATCTGATCCAGCCTAGCCCAACCCAATCCCCAAATTTCCTGACCACACTCCGTTTTACTGGCAAAATAATCATCTTTCAAGAAGGGGTGAAAAACGAAAGAAATAACCACATGCATAAATGAAACTAGAATAATGAGTACTACGCATGAATACAAAGAAAGAGACACCTAAACAGTACTAGAGAAAACCCCGCCGCCCCTGCTCCAAACATGGCAAAAAAGCAGTCGCGATAGAGTAGAAAGGTAAAATAGCAACAATAGATGTGTCTATACAGCAATATCATCCCAAATCCTTTCCCTACTCCCAAAGAGAGAGGGGAAGGTCTGTATTAACTCCTCACCTCCAGTCCAGTGTCCTCCTAAACCGTCCAATATATTCGTATTCGCATATCCGTTACATCGAGTCTTCTAGCTCGTCTCCAATCCATTCCACCCTTAACCCTTTTCAGTAAATCCCAATCGTCCGAAACCTTTTCTTTTGGTATTTGAATAGTACCATTCCCAACCAACTCCGGCGATCCCAAGCAAGAAAGGTTCGTAAGATTCTTAGTTGGTCTCGTCGCGGATGAGGGCGACGATCATGCTGTAAAGGTAGAAGAAGAACATTACGAGATGGAAACCGAGCTTGATGAAAGATTCCTATTGTCGCGGTAAATTTCAAAATTAGTCACATGCTAAAATATGGTACCCATGGAGAAGATCCAATAGGGTGCGGCAAACCTTCTTGTGCTTGTTCAGGGTCCTGAAGATTTCCGTTGCATCGAGAAGGTGCGCGTTGTCGAGGATTCTATTTTTGGTTAGTTCTTATCTCTCTCGCCTTACAAGAAAACTCCAGCGTGACTGCTTATCTATCGGAGGAGCCGCCGCAAGGTAGGACGGAAAGGGAACACATACTTCTTAATGTTGAATGCCAACAACGGCAAGTTCAGGACCAGTGCAACCCAGTATCCGTTGATGAGGAATAGCAGAGTGAGAAATCCGTGCACGGCAGCTTCAGGGATGATGTAGGTGTTGAGGCGGTTGCATAGATCGATGGGATTGATGTAATCGCATTCCAGGTCCGAGTACCTTATTTGCTTGTTAGCACAGTAACTAAGAAAAGGCCAGATAATGTAGGGAGGGCAATAGAAAATAGGGTCCTCACATGATAGTAAAGAAGACCTGAAGGAATAGGTTGACGGCATTGAGTAATACCGAGAGGAGGTACAGCCATGCTTCACCGGACATCATTGGGACGGTTGTGATAGTAGGAGAAGAGCGTTAAAAAGGGTCGTTGGTCGAGTCGTGATCGCGTGCAGGACGTTAGAAGAAGTCGTCAGATGTATGAGGAGTGAGGTGAGTGATGATCGAGTGAGAGAGGTAAAACGGGCGCAGGAAGGACGAAGACCACCGAGGAAAAGTGAAAAGAACAGATCTGCGGGCGGTGAAAGAGAGCGCACGGGTTAGACAGGGGGAGGTCCGAGCGGGAGGGGAAGTTCTAGCCCAAGTAAAAGAGGAAAGGCTGCAGGAGGGAGGCGCTGGAGATCAGAAACGGGAAACACTCGCAAAAGAAGAACAGGAGAAACGAGGAAGATATTATATTACTCTGCAGGATATGTGTAGAAGAAGAAGAAGAAGAAGGGGTGATGTGGATGTTGATTTACGAGTGCGAATACATGTAGATGCTGACAAGATTCAGGCTGGAACTTCGATAGAGAAGAAAAGAGGCTTGGCCAACAACGTCAGGACGCAACTCAACGTGAGGCAAAGCAGGGAAGAGCAGCGCAAAAAAAAAAAAAGGTCCCGCCACACTTCATAGGGCCCAGATGATCACCGCCACATGCTTTGGTAACTCGACGCAGCCTCTTGAAGCTTCAAACCCCGGAACTTACCTCAGAACCACGTTCACGTTCGACTTCATGAACCCTCGCCGCGACGTCATATAATCAGTTAGACCAAACATGTCACTTTCAACCCTACGCCAATCTTCCATCTCTCGCTTCTATCCTGTCATCATTCCCGTCGTTGCTGTCGCTGCGTCCCTTGTCGCATACCAGATCATTTACAACTCCTCCCGCCCTGTAGCCAAACGTTTAAAGCGCTCCAATGCTCGGAGAGTTTCACGTCGCTCCGGAAGGAGGGCTAATAGTGGCTCGAATCAGAATTCTGCAGCTTCGTCGAGCACAGCTGATCCGGAAATTGGCGCTATCATAGCGGATGAGCACGAGCAACTTGGTGAAATAGAAATTCCGGAGTCTATGCATGAAACACTTATAGAGGCTGCTACTGTTGCCCAAGAAGCTCGTGGTGCTGGAAGAGGTGCGGATAATGATAGTGACTTCTCATATACGCCAGACACAAAAGAAAATCAGAATCTTTTAAATTTATTATACTTAATTGCTGAAGTATAACCCTCTCCCTCTTCCTCTCCCTTTTAGCTTGAGCTCAGCTGTTAACGGTAAATTATAGGATCAATCCAAACGTGATTCATATGTTCACCGCGGAGTAACATGTAATAGTTGTAATATAATGCCAATCCGTGGTATCCGCTATCGTTGCGCAAACTGTGTCGATTTTGATCTTTGCGAACATTGCGAAGCACTCGACTCCCACCCCAAAACCCATCTTTTCTACAAAGTTCGAATTCCCGCCCCATTCTTGGGGAATCCGAGGCAGGCACAGACACCATGGTACCCCGGAAAACCTGGGCTCATGCCACAAATACTACCACAGAACGTTGTAAAGATATTTGGTGGCGAAACGGGATGTACGAACCCCTCGCCTTTTTTTATGTTAATAGACACTTACAGGCATAGTCGAACCACCCGAAATTGAGGCCCTCTACGAACAGTTCAAATGTCTTGCCGCCACCGAATACGTTAGTGATCCTCTTCACCTCCATGGTGCAATTTCCCGCCAAACATTTGACAAATGTTTCGTCCCAAACACTCACGTGCGCCCTCCGCCCCCAAACCTTATATACGACCGCATGTTTGCCTTCTATGACACCGATAACAACGGCCTCATTGGCTTCGAAGAGTTTGTTCGCGGCCTTTCCGCACTGAACCACAACAAGAGCCGCAACCCTGAGAAATTAAAGAGGATCTTCAAGGGCTATGACCTCGACGGCGACGGGTATGTCGACCGTAATGACTTCCTCCGTATGTTCCGCGCTTTCTATGCCCTAAGTAAAGACCTGGTAAAGGACATGGTAGCATCTATGGAAGACGACATGCTCGAGTCAAACCAAGCCGCCAACGTACTGGTAGGCTCACAGCCAATCTCTGCCGCGTTCTCTGGCACTATTCCAACTGGTACGCGCCGCGCGGGGAAGGGTGACGAGGAGGCATGGGAAGCCGACTCAGACGCTGATATGAACCCCGTTGTCCTTCCCTCCGGCGACGACCGGCTTTCCCGCAGCGATGTATCCCATCATTCGCACGCGCCTAGAGAGGTTGACCAGACATATGCGGATTGGCTTGCCGCTGGCGAAGATAGTATCTCTGCGGCTGCGGTTGCCGCTACGATGCCAAGTCTAGATACAGGATCGTCCGAATCAGAGTCCTCTCCGGCCGACAGGGAGGAGGCAAGGCGGAGAGAGTTCATGGATGACGATGATGATGACGACAGTGGTGTTGGAGGCGAGGAACAGGATGTAGGGAGTGAGATCTTATACCACATCACCCAGCGGGGCCTCAACGAGCTCCTTGATTACCTTTTCTCCGTAAAGGAAGAACAGGCACAAGAGTCGCGCAAGACAACCAACCCATACCTCATTGAAACTCCGATCCCGCATACCCCTGAGGAGCCGGTTGAAGGAGAGGAGTACAAGAAGAAAGAGCCCACGCCGCAGGAAAAGGAGGCTGCTGAGCGTGCGATGTATGCTGCAGAAATCAGGGAGCGAGGTGGCCCCGGAAGGATCAATTTCGAGGAGTTTGAGGACATCATGAGGGGCGCGCATGCGAGCGATCTGGGTTTCGTGGGGACCTGGATCGATATGGCGAGTTTCTAACTGAGGGGGATAATTGTGTTTATCTTGTGCATTGGTGTACGATTCACTAGTGGCTAATGAATGGGCTGTGTGCTTTGGGTACTGGAGTTTGTTGGGAAAGTATCAGTGTTTTTTCCTTGTCTCGTTCCCCCATCCGAGTGTTGGGTGGGTGTTCAGAGAGGTGTTTATTATTGTGTGCAGGTAAATCTTGTCTCTACTTGGTCTACGAATTGAATAACCTTTTTTTTTTTTTGCTATCTCTGGTATCCATGAATTAATATGCAAATGCGAAGATTGTACTCGTGATCTCTAAAGCAATAGAATACATATATGGCACTACTATTTGTACAGTCACTCTTCAAAAGCGTTGGCGGTATGGTGGTGGTGGCCTAGTATCTCCCCCTAATAGACAAGAGCTCTCTAGGGTGCTTGGGATATTTTTTTCTTTTTTCTAAAAAAATCAGTACATAACAACTAGCAATATCAGAAGACCTACTTGCCCTCCGGTATAAGCAACATGCAATGTTTGCTCACCCTGGCCCTCTAGTGTGTCTTGGCAATTAATGTTTGGTGGGCAATGATAAATTTGACACTATATTATGTATGTACACGCAGCACAACTTACCGAGCCCAATCATCTATATGCAACTATTAGAACATGCAATCACCTGAATTATTTGAACAGTGTTATTATGTAGATGAGAATATCAGTGCGTGTTTATCTATATCTCGATTTCAAAGTGGCTCGAAATCTCAATTTTGTAGAGTGCCTGTATATACCATCTAACTCGGCCGGCCCAATATCCCCCCCCTTCAAGTTATAACTGAGGTCGTTTTCCCAATATGTATACGGAAAACTCGCTATAAGTGGTATATCGAAGACTTTGTGGTTCTGTTAGATCAGCTAACCAAGCGCTCGGAGAACTCGAAGAGTTTCCGGGAGGGGCACCATTCCTAAAATATATACAAGTCAAAGTAAGTCATGCATGCACACTACATGTATCCAAAAAAAAAAAACACACACCCACTTACATGTACATACTAACGACCCCAAAAAACTTAAAACCCCCCCCCCCCCCCCCAGGGTCACGCGTATCCCATAATCTGGCGGGTGGTTAGAAAATCCCCCCGACAAACAAGACCGAGTGATAATCCATGATCGCCATTCCACAAAACCAGTAGACCACTGCGTACATGTAGGTACATTTACGCGGGTGTTTGGAGGCAGTATGCTTGCTGTTAAGCATCAGGGAGGTAAATACCGATAGAGCCAAGGCAGTTTACACGCATAAATATTGCGTAGAGTAGAGATGTTCCAATTTGCTTTTACCATTACTAGCCAATATATATATTGGTGCGGATATAATATATCATGGAGAAGGATAGAGGCTAGAGGCCGTACAGTTCCTTCTAAACAGCGGCATAAATATCAGAGCAAAATGTCTCGTTGATGGTGCCACGCAACTTGTATATCGGCGGCCTATAGAAATACGATATACGACTTCAACTGGATAGCGGTGCGGATCGCGACCTAGCGAATCCGGATAACGATGAAAAGGAAACGGCACTACACGTATATGGCCGCGAGTGTGGGAGACAAAGAGGCAGTTTAGCTTTTACGTACAAGATCAGGTGCGAATGTTGTAGTCAAAAAAGGGTAAGGAAGTGCTGTTATAACTACCACCACTAGAATGAGATTCGACATGCACAAAGTTTCTGCAAGGTGGATGAGGACACTACTACACTGCACTGAAGGATAAAGAAGCTCTTCAATAATCGTGAATATAGGACTGTACGTAGTAGCCCATAACTGATAATAGCTCTTAAAATTACTGTAATCTACCGCACTTCTGACCCCGGTGCTCTAAAACTATGTATAGATACACACACACAGTGATATAAAAACCAATCCACCTCTAGCTCCCCCCTCCCCCCCTCCCCCCCTCACCTCACAACCTCCACCTCTACCCCCCCCTCCCCCACCTCCACAAAGTCCAGCAACACACACAAATACACCTCCCCCGTCCGGGCATTCCGCAAAACATACCGCACCGGCTGCCCATCCCAATACTTCAACAAATCCAGCGCATACCCCGGCAGCCGAATCTCAAACCCCGCAAAATCGAGCCACGGCCCGAAAAAGTCAAACCCGTACCGCCACCCCCGCCGAAACACAAACCCCTCCCGCCGCCCCCGCTCCAGGAAGAACTTCTTCCGTGCCCCCGCTGCGGAGGGGATGCCCGCGGGGGTGGTAGAGGCAGACATGTCCTCCTCGAGCACTGTGTCGCCGCTCCATCCCGCCCCGGGCTCCGTAGGCGGGGGCGGGTGCATCTCTGTCTGCACCACGTCGCTGATTTCCGTCTCCTGCGGCGTGGCAGTGCCAGGGGATGCAACAGCGATGACGTTCATACTGCTAAGCACGCTCCCCCACACCCACGGCTTATCGGCATATAGGTCTCCCTCAAGCCCCGGGTCGATCCATTTGCCAATGTTCCAAAAGACGCTGAAGCCGAACGGCAGCAGGTCGCGGATGGGGCGGTCAAAGTCGTTTCCCCAGACAAGGTCGGCGCCGCTGATGTCTGCGGCGGTGGGGGTGAAGAGGAGCTGGAAGGAGTAGAGGTCCTTTGCCTTTGCGTGCGTCGGGTGGGCGAAGTAGGGGTGTGTGGAGGGGAGGGGCTGGCTGGGTGGGGACTTGTAGGAGGAGAAGCGGATGTGAAGGGTGGTGGTGGAGGTGGGGGTGGTGATTGTGAGTGGGGTGGAGGTGTTGACGGGGACGAGGGTGTGTGTGGCGCGGTCGTAGGTGGGGCCGGCGGTGACGCGGAGGCGGAAGTTGGCGGCGGACATTGTGCGTGTGTTGTTGGGGGGAATGGAGAGGGGTGAGGGGGATGTGAAGGTATATATACGGGCTTGGACAGTGTGTGAGACCCCGACCCGCCACCGTGATGATGCTGATGGAGGTTCTGTCTTTGTTCTTGGTGGTGTTGACCTGCTGGGTGTCTGAGATGCAATCTGGTCGTGATGTCATTGGCGGGCTTATCGAGACATTTCACCTGGAAATCTAGGGCCAAGCACCTACACCTGTGGGAATAATTCAGACGTACTCTCGAGACCAAAACATCAATCCTAAATTCGCTGATATATTCTTTTCAAAGCAGCACTCTACGCAGTCTATTTCTCGCATCGTGATAATAAACAGTAAAGATACCTACCTACCTACCTACCTACCACCCCCTTGCTTTAGAGCTATAGAGTATAATCAGAACACGCACTCCACTCCCAAACCGGATAGATCCACCGACTATTCCCCGGTTCGACGGCCAGATCAAACAACGCCTCCACTATCCGCAGCGTGTAGCGGCGAGTTTTCTGTCCACGGCCCACGTCGCCTCTCCGATCCGTGCAGCTCCGAAAAATAACGCAGCCAGTGACCCTTCCTATGCAGATCATAAGTAGTCACGGAGAATATATATCTAGCCGTAGCACAGCTACATGACGTTACATCCGATATAGCTGTCTTCCTTCTTACATACCACCACCACCACCACCACCACCACTACCAAGCCACTCACTGCCTGAAGAGGGTACAATAAATGCCTTATATGTTGAATTAATGAGATAGCAAAACACTATATACTGTAGCTACACGTACGTACGTAACAGCAGCCCGTCACATATACATACACAACAAAGCTCTTCAACAGACCCACACAGCTACAACATGGTCATGTAGGGCCGGGGGTATAAGCTGCAAGTTCAGGGCCGAATCAAAACCCCGGGAACATACGTACGTGTACTAGTGTGGGTAAAGGGTAATGATCAGAGTGCATGTTTTGGAGACATCACGTGTTTTGGGCTGGCTGCAAAGAGTTCTTGGTGGATGGAAGGGGGAACTTGTTTACATTGACGTAGGTAGAGCACGGTGGGATACTTACGATGTATGTATACTTTAGTAAGGAGCATCAATCGTCCACGGGCGTATGTATTGTATCACCAGGACCCCCGTCACACTGCACCGTACTATACTATCAAGTCACATAACACACCCCGCACCACCATCCCCCATCGCCACCGCAACACCCCCATAACATACCTCACATCATTTATTTTTATCACCCCTATCTACCCCTCCCCCCTCCCCCTCCCCTCTCCTCTCAACCGTCTACGCCACCACCTTCCCATCCACCACGTTCACCTTCCCGCCCTCGACCTCCACCGCACCCCCCGGGCTGCTCGCCGTCCTTGCCGTCAGCACCTCAACCCCATCCTCCGTCACCAGCAGCGTGTGCTCAAACTGTGCGCTCATCTTCCCGTCCGTGGTGACAGCCGTCCAGTCGTCGGGCCACGTCGTGTCGCGGTACGTCCCCAGCGAGATCATCGGCTCGATGGTGAAGCACATGCCGGCCTTGGCGGTGCCGACGGCTTTGTTCTTGGCGTAGTGCGGGACGTTGGGGGCGCAGTGGAAGAGTTGGTTTATGCCCTGGTGGGGGGTGTTAGCTGTGTGCGGGGGGAAGGGAGGGGAGGGGGTAATACATGGCCGCAATACGTCTTCACAACGCTACACGCCCTCTTCTTCGCAATCTTCTCGATCAGGTCCCCTGGGGATTTAAACAGCATCCCTGGCTTTACGAGCTTGATCGCCTCGTCGAGGCACTCGCGCGAGGTCTCGACGACGCGCACGGTGTCCTTGTTGGCCAGCGCGGCGTCGCCGACGTAGTATGTTTCGTTGAGGTCGCCGTGGAAGCCGTTGTGGTAGAGGGTGACGTCGATGTTTACGATGTCGCCGTCGGCGAGCGGACGCGAGTCGGGGATGCCGTGGCAAATGACCTCGTTGATGGATGTGCACACGGACTTGGGGAAGTGGTTGTAGTTGAGCGGCGACGGGTAAGACTGTCTATGTGTTAGTAGCAGTAGTAGCCTCTAGTAGCTAGAAGATATATGGCTGGGGGGAAGGGGGGAGGGGGAAGGGTACATCGCGGTCAATACAAGCCTGATGCACAATGGCATCAATCTCATCCGTCGTGACCCCGGGCTTCACGGCGGCAGCCGCAATATCCAGCACCTCCCTCGCCAACCTGCACACTTTGCGCATGCCCTCGCACTCCTCAGCGCTCAGGATAGAGATGGTGCGGTTGCTACGGCCACGTGCATTCTCGCTGCGCGGGATGCCGTCGAGCGCATATTCCGGGCGTTCAATCGTCTTTGGCAGCGGGCGGTCGGGGGTGAGCGGGAAGCGCGCAGACAGCGGATATGTGGCGCGCAGGCCGCCGGTGTATGGGTAGTTTGGGAAGGGGTCGTATGTGCCGCTTACTGGTTGGGAGGGGGCCGCGAGGGGCGTGGGTAAGCGCAGGTCTCGAAGGGTCTGCAGGAAGGTGCGGGTGGAAGGGGGGGAGGAGGAGCTACCTGCAGGGGCTTTCTTGTGGGCGGATTTGTGTGTGGGCTGGTGTGGAGAACGTGCGGGTAGGGGTTAGCAGCGTTCGGGGCAGCAGGTAGCGGGGGAGGAAGAAGAAGGAGGAGGGGGGACGCACCCAGCTGGTTTTGAAGCAGTTTTGTGAGCAGAAGAAGGATTCTTTGCCGAGTTTGAGGCAGTTGGGGCACTGCAGGGTGCCGGCGACGTTTGCGCAGGAGACGCCGATGCACATTTGAGCGGTGGTGGCCATGATGGTATGGGTATGGGATAGTTATATGGTATGGTGGGGGTATTGGTGATGGTGGTATTGGTGATGGTGGTGGTGGTGGTGGTGGTGGTGGTGGTGGTGGTGGTGGTGGTGGTGGTGGTGGTGATGTGCGTGGAGTCAGAGACCTAGGAGGAGTGGGAGAGAGAAGAGAGGCTTAAATGTCATGTCAACGGGAGGGGGATGATGAGTCGATGACCTGCGTGTGCTTGGCAAGGGTCTGTCCGGGTAGACAGAGATACCGATACCGGGAAAAAGCAACCCCGGATTATTTGTAATTCTCCATTTAGAAATAGACTTTGCGTGTGTAGAACGGGCACCGACGCGGAGTATCGAGACATCGAATTAGAGCCCATTATAGTCTCTGGCAGATCGTCCCAAGGTTTTGTAGCCAGGCACCCTGGAGTATTGAAGATTTAATATAGCAGTGGGTAAACAACCTTAGAGGATGAAACTTGAAGAACTCGTATAGCTGCGAGGTTTTAATAGTATCAAAAATGTTGATTAGGTCGCAAATTTATAAGAGACGGAAGAGAGTCGAGTATGATTGAATTAAAAGAAGTAACGAGAGAAGAAGGAGCAGTCTCCTTAATTTATAAAACAAAATTGTATCATCAAGACCAAAATCGTTGTTTTGACACAGTAACAGATAGCAAAGACTGTAAAAACTATTTAATACACCCACGAGAACAAACACAAAGCCGTGTAACTTAGTATGTCTATATCTGCAATTGCAAGTCAACTTCATATTATACAGTTCTCTTGCACAGACCCATGTACCACGATAATGGGTTTCGACATGCAATAAACCCCAATTACCAAACCACCCTCACCAGACACAGCACCAATGACATCACCGCCCCAATCCCACTAGTACTCCCACTCCCACTCCCAATTGATCTCGCCCTGCCCTATCCTGCACTGCACTGCACCTAGGCCCCATCCCAGCTACTCTACTCTACTCACCTCTCCTCAACCCCGGATCATACATTGACATCTAACAACCAGTGTCACTGTACTGTCACGTACACACCGCCCGGATATATCGGGGCACGGTCAAGCTCGACTCATGCCTCAACTCCAAGTCTAGTCGGCATCTCGTCCCGTACCGAGACCCGACTGACGAACTGCTATTTTCTCAACACATGATATGGGGGATACAGTGGTTGTGGTATCAGTGCTAGTACGGAACTTGAAAGGTATTCTTTCGACCAGTATCCAAAGACAAGACAGGTCTTCTCGCGCACATCTTCAACCGGCAAGTTATCGAACGGTCAGGTCATCCAGGATATCGATCGCCATCGGCGTCCCATCCGTCCACCACCCATCATCGCTCCTTCCTGTAGAGAAATTTCAAAACCAAAAACCAAAAACCAGCTCTTCGAGTATCACCCGCCCCGAGTTGTTACCACGGAGTAAACAAGAAAAAAAAAAGAAAAGAACAAAAGGTACTGCAACGGCGGCCCGCTACTACCCCCACCCCCGAAGGCCCGAACCTCGCAGCCCTGGGCAAACACACGGTGTCTCGCCCGACGTCGGCGTCTAAACCGTTAGACCGCTCGCCCTTGTTGATATTGTTTGCAAGGCGATATTTCAACCTTCATGGTGTGTGCCAAGAACCCAAGATGGTGCGGAAGAAACCCTAGCCCTTGGGATTTCAAGACCCCCGCCTATCGTTACATCACCACACCCGTGAAACAAGCCATGCCACCCCCCAAATTAATCCCCACACACACCTTCACACAACCTAATCTCCCTCAGATCGTCCTTAATTGCAGGTATACATACCAAGACGTTTTGTCACCGCGGTAAGCACTTTTTACATACCCAGGATTTAGATAGATACATGTAACTTTGATCAGTTGAGTTCAGCCTCTGCCGAAGAGCCCGCAGCGCAGGGCTGAAGTGAAGAGAGTGGGGTTTTAGGCTTTGTTCCTCGGGATTTGGTTGGGATTTGGGTTTGGGCTATGTAGCTACTTGTAAGGGAGCGAGGGAGAGATATTTTCGGTGGTTATCGTTCTGCTGTGGCTGAGGCCTAGCTAGGGAATGTGTACCTTCTATCGTATCGTATCCTACGTACTTTTAATTTTGGTGCGATATGTAGATACGGGAAGCATACGCGTCAAAGACAGTTTTTTACTCTGGCGGATGCTCAAAGAAAGAAAGCTTCACGGCTTGTACTCAAACATTAGCGACACAAACATTTACGAAGGAACACAAATTAAGTCATTACTCGGAGACACCATGTCTTCAGCTGAAGTAGAGTACAGTATATACGAACATTCCAATTCATCATCATCATCATCATCATCATCATCATCGCCGCAGCCGTAATACCTACCTACCTCCAAGCCAAGCCCAAGCCCCGATATTTAAGCTTCCCTTCCCCACCATCCCATTCGCTCCAGCCACAGCTGCGTCTTACTGGCCCGAGAGCTGAATCTCGATTACCAGACCGTAGTCCGTAGGGCTGAGGGTTTTTTTTCCCTTTCCTCCCTAGTTTTTTTTTTCCTTTTTGACAACTCATGAAGCCTGAAGGGAGGGGAGGGGAGGGGGGGGGGGGGGAGTTTCTTGGCTGGGGAGGGAAAAAAAAAAAACGAAAACGGTGGTCGATACAGATAGATACATACTCTAGTGCTTACTCCTCTCGGGAGAGAGGTTGGATTAGTGTTTGGTTCTGCCTAGATACTCGCCCACGTGTAGGGTACCTAGAAGTGAAAGACGACATGTCGTTGATAGTGATAGGTACATAGATTGAAGGAAGGAATATTCCCCGAATTACGAATTACTTTAGGGTGCAGGCAGAGTGGTGAGTGATATCGGCATACCCACCGGTACGCGCAGCCTCTGAACCCACTGTCACCACGCACGGAGAAGAAGAAGGTTGTTGTTGAACGTTCAACGTCGATGATCTCGAAAACCAGCCTGCCATGCCCTAGACGGGAAGGGGAGCGAGAAGCACAGGCCCTTCAACCACAACATGACAGCCTGCCTGCCTGCCAGCCTGGGGAGGGGGGGAGGGGGGGCTATTCTTAGAAACACAGACAAGACACACACACAGAAAGTCGTCGCAACCCCAACACCCACACCCACTCACACCGCCTCTGTGGTGGTGGTTTGGCGATTGTGTGTGATGCTACTCTACTCTTGGCTGCACTGCCTTTGGCGGAATGGGACCAGGGCGCCTGCCCACCCTTCTTCTTCTTCCCCCAAAGTGAGAAAAGTGGGACGCCTGCAGGAGGAAAAGGGCAGGGATCAGCCATGCGATCCCACCAAACAAAAGTCATCAACGCCAACGCCAGAGAGATACATGGAGAGCAAGAGCAGCAGCAGCAAGCAAGCAGCGAGGCTGAGCATGCCCATGCCCTTCGTTCGTCGTTCTTACAATAATAGGTAATACCTTACTTACCTTGCATACATACTTAACTTGCTTATCCCCTCCCCCGCTTCTGCTTTCTTCTTTCCCATCCATCCATCATCATCCTTTTATATAAGTATTTTACCCATCCTCCCTTCCATCCTCCTTCTTTTTTACTTCCAGATCTCACTTCACACACTCGTAGTAGTTGGTTGATCTTTTTTATTTTATTTTATTTTCTCTTTTCTTGTTTTCCTACCCTAACTGAACCAAAGCAAAAAGAAAAAGAGAAAAAAAAACACCGTTCACAATGGGTAAAGCCGGCCGTTTCGCGTGTATCCTCACGCCCATGCTCTGCACACTGGCCTCGCTGGTGTGCACCGTCCTCGTACTCGTCGGAGGAACAAACAAGTCCTCATCACTCGCCTCTAACCTCTACTTCTTCTCCGTACGCATCTCCCCCCCCATCCAATCCCCCCCCCCCCCCCCTCTCTTCCCCCACTCACCCACCCATACTAACCAACCCCCAGATCGACACCCGCAACCTAACCCTCAGCGAGAACGTCGACCTCCCCACCTCCCTCTTCGACGACGATGTCAAAACCGGCTTCGGCAACCTGACCGCCAAAGACCTCAACCTGGCCGACTTCTACACCTCCTCCCTCTGGAACTACTGCTCCGGCACCATCGACGAGCACAACAGCTGGACCGTCACCGAGTGCGGCAAGCCCAGCGCAACCTACAGCTTCGACCTCATCCAGATCCTCAACGCCAGCATGACCGCCGACGAGCTCGACTTCCCCGACTCCGTGCAGAAGGTCAACAAGGCCGTCGGCGCCGCCTCAAAGGTCATGGCCGCAATGTACGTTCTCGGCCTCATCTCCGGCGTCGTCACCTTCGCCATCGGCTGGTTCGGGCTTCTCTCGCGCTGGGGCAGCTGCGTCACGACGATCCTGGCAGATGTGTCGTTCTTCTTCTTGTTGGTGGGCAGCATCATCTCCACTGCGCTGTACTACACGATGCGCACGGTGTACGATAAGGCGTTCAGCCAGTTCAATCTCGTGGCCGCGACGGGTAACCAGATGTTTACGCTGACGTGGCTGGCCGTGGCGTTTGCGCTTGCTGCGAGCGTGTTCTGGATGTTCTCGACGTGCTGCTGCTCGGGCAAGAGGGACCGCGTGATGAAGACGGACCACGGGAAGACGAAGGGGCCCGGTGGCCACAAGTATGAGAGGGTTGCGGCGCCGTATGTGGGTGGAAGTGGGTCGGCGCTGCCGATGTCGTCGGTGGGGAAGCAGCAGCAGGCGGGTTTTGAGCCGTATAGACATGCGTAGATAGGGAGTGGGCAGGGAGTAATGATTTGAAATGAATGAAATTTTTTTATTTTATTTTGAGTTACGGGCTGGGTGGCTGGTTGGTTAGTTGGTTGGTTGATGCGCGTGGGGGAGGGGGGCTCAAAAAGCTGTGGTTTGAATGAATTGGGTTGGGTTTCTATCTACAACTGGGATGGTGTTTTTATTTTTGTTATTTTCTTAACTTTTTACATGAGATGTTTTTTTTCTCTCGGTGTGAATGATCGGGTTCTTTTTTTCGGGATATCGGTCGGTCGGGTGGGGGAGGGAAAGGGAATATTGGGTCTTTCGCTAAGGTTTTTGATATCAGAGTTCTACTTCTTCTGTCTATTACGACTTTTTTTTTTTTTTTTCTACTAAATAGTAAGATAAAGGCTTCAATACAACTTAGTGCTCTTTACTTAGTACATACCCGCTATCGTTTTTTTCTGTGTGTCTCAGTTATTTTGAAAGCCCGTTTGAGCCCTAGTTTCAGCTTTACTGTTTATCTTTGCTTTTAGTACTTTTACCGCTCACCCGATCATGACAAGAAGAATCTTTCTTTCAGCATGCTATCGGTATCCGTGCGGTGCGGTGCAGTGCGGCTGAGAGGCTGAGGAGGACACGGTGAGAACCGTTCCAGAATAAAGTACATGATGCGTGCGGCAGAGTACATATCTACAAGCACAGTAAGAAATGATTGTGAATAAAGTACCTAGCCCGCAGAGTCAGGCTAAACCGCTTTAGCGAGGGAGCAACAGCATGCGATGTTTTGCAATATGGCATGCACTTTAATTTATCGACGTTCGACGGTTGATACCTGCCTTATGGATGAACCTGGTTTGCAGAAGGAAGTACCTTATCCAATGTGTGGATGGACTGTTTGACGCTGAGAAATATGTGTCAGCGTTACTGTGCTTAAGGCTACAGGGGTGTTGTGCAGATGGTCTTTCAATCACGAGGCGTCACTCGGCCGGGTGGTAGGTTTAGCGGGGTTGGCATGGCAGTACTGAGGCGCCGTCGTTTGGCTCGGACTTACGTGAGGTTCTGTTTGTTATTTTTCTTTGTCAGCACCTGTGGGTTGGACATGCGCAATACATAAGGAGAGTGCAGTTCTTCAGCTTGGTATAAGGAATGAGGGGGCGAGCGATTCAGCTGCTGTTCTGCTCTAGATAGAGATGGGAATGCGATCTAGGTAATCGGCTCGGTTAGTTTTTAAGAAGTGTGGGAGGAGCTATCTTGGAGCCTAGAGATGGGAAAAGATAGAGTGCTTACTACCAGCCCAGTCTTGGATTGCTCAGCCACGTTTGGCTGCGGGTTGGCTTGAACCATGGTATTGACAGTTACACGCTGTGTTCCTGGCGGCTAGAGAGCGGCACGAGTTCTTTCCAATATTGACTCCCGCCCTGACAGGTTTTGCAAGGAGGAACTGCGCGTGCGGGGTCGAGAAATTTATGAGAACTAAACCTCTTTTGATTGACAACCGATCAAGCCAATAAATTTCATGATTCAACCCAATAGATGAGGTGAGAGCACTAACTCAATGCCAGAGACAAATACAACATAGTAACTGCATTGTTTGCAGGTGCATATATCGAGTGTGTGGATAAGAGCGGTGATAGAATGTAAATGTCTTGAACTCGAGAAAATGAATGTGCGGGAGGGGACCACTAATTATCAGTGATCATTGAAACTAACCCAGATCTATGAGAAGAAGCACTATCAATTACCATCACTCACAGGATCAAACAATTAACGGTGTCACTCGCAGCAGTAGACAGTCATCAAGCGATTCCCTACAGCCCTACCACGTAAGAGAAACTCCCCCGTTAACGATATCCCGAGCGAAAACACAAGTGGTCTGCCGTTCAATGTATCTGATGATTGAAAGATGGAAGCGCTATTGGCCAAAAGATGAAAGGATGATCCCAAGATTTCTTTATGTCTCTATCCATATTACCTACGTGTCTTGACATGTGTTATCTTGGAACATCAACGTCATCAAAGCCGCGCCCTTCCACCCAACTGGGACTCTCTGCATAGAATCCAAAAGATCACGGCTAGGATGTGCATGGCATTACAGTCGTTTGCAGAGCTGGGTGATAACTGTTAAAGGCTCTCTTGAGATGGAGAAGAGCATGTGTCAAGGTGTGCAGAATTTCCTCTAGTCTCGTTTCAGGGCCAGGGTAATACCATCAAACTCTAACTTGCCGGGTTAGATATATCTCACAAAGTTAAGTCTGCCGGCTGTTTATCACATTTTGAAACGGCCAATCCTTGACACAGTCTGGGTTTCGAATCAGTATGTATGCTTCAAGGCAGAAATGGGATTCGTTCCTTTATTTCAATTCAATGCAAAAGGCAGGTTTCTGACATGGCTGCAAGGCGGAATGTATTTAATCCAACCACTCTGGACACGGTTCTCTCATTAATAGACGTGCAATTTTAAGTGATGCTCAACCATCTTGACCGGCTCCCATTCAAACACTCGATTATAACTCTCCAAACACTCTCCTTCAAAACCAAACCCCAGACCAATTCGAAACCCACCTCACCCCCCTCGATCCATCGCGAGTGATAATCGATGACGATAAGGGGAGATCTCCCAAGCGCCAAGTATCGATGACGTGAACCGACACCTCTCTGTGCTTGTATGGAGTGGGCAGACGCGGTCACAAAGAACTCACTACCTAACTTGCGAAAAAAATAAAATTGTTATTAATACGGTCGAATTGATTTGATTACATTTCCCCCCATCTCACTCTTTCACTCATTCACATTACCTTTTTTTCCCTCCGGCGCCCCTTGTTCCCCTATGATCACGCTCTTTGTGTTTTGCTCCCCGTACCCCATATTATTAGGTTTTTGAGACAGTACCAACCCACGCCCCGTCTGTGCCGGTCTGTGCAACGTAACACACAGACCCGACGCGACTTCCCAGAGCTCACTGCGAACCTTACCTCCAGCCTTGTAAGCTCCCCACCCCCCCCCCCTCTCAACCATGCTCTGCTCTCCAACTAACAACATCAGTCTCTACCTAACCGCCTCTCGCAATGGGTGTCACCGGCCTGTGGACCATAATCCAACCGTGTGCCCGCCCTATTAAGCTCGAAACACTCGCTAGGAAACGGCTCGCCGTCGACGCCTCCATCTGGATCTACCAGTTCCTCAAAGCTGTCCGTGACCGCGAGGGGAACGCGCTACGCAACTCTCACATCGTCGGCTTCTTCAGGAGGATATGCAAGCTGCTGTTTCATGGGGTGAGACCAGTGTTTGTGTTTGATGGAGGCGCGCCGGCCTTGAAGAGGCAGACTATCGCTGGCAGAAAGTCAAGGAGAGAAGGAAGGAAGGAAGATGCGAGAAGAACTGCGGGGAGAATTCTGGCCTTGCAAGTGCAGAGAGAGGCGGATAGGGAGAATGAGAGGAGGAAGAAGAAGGCCAAGGATAGGGAAGAGGGATGGACAGATGTCACGCAACATGAAGAGGAAGAGGAGGAGGTTATCCCAGAAGATGTAGTCTATGTGGACGAGTTAATGCAAACACCAGAACAAATCAAAAAGAATCGACAGGGAGGGTTTAGAAAGACCGACCCTTACCATTTACCAGATCTAGATACATCAATAGAAAACATGGGCCAGCCAAACGACCCTCGAATCATGTCGACGGAAGAGCTCGAAGAATACGCACGCCAATTTCGAGGCGGGGAGGAAATGAGTCTCTACGATTTCTCCAAGATTGATTTTGACTCGCCCTTCTTCTGCTCACTACCTCCAGCTGATCGCTACAATATCCTTAATGCTGCCAGACTCAGATCACGTCTACGGATGGGTCTATCGAAAGAACAGTTGGATGCAATGTTTCCCAACCGCCTTGACTTCTCAAAGTTCCAGATCGAGAGAGTTACGGAAAGGAATGAGCTGACACAGCGTCTCATGAACCTTAACGGTGCCAATGACGTGAACACACTCGACATCAGCCGAGTCGCTGGTGAACGAGGGAGGGAATACGTCCTTGTACGCAACGATGGGGTAGAAGGCGGTTGGGCTCTAGGGGTAGTCGGCCAGAAGGGGGATAGAGAGGGTGAGCAGGCTAGACCAATTGTGGTAGACACCACAGAGAAGCTTGAGGAAGACGATCCCATGGATGACGATGAGGATGATTTTGAGGACGTTCCAATTGAAGGGCTGAACAGACTGCCCAAAATACATGTGGGATGGGACAAGGAGGAAGGATCTGAGGAGGAAAGAGATGAAGCTTTCAATCCATTCGAAGATCCGGAGGCACAGATGCTTCGGCGGGCGATATATGAGAGCCGAAAAGAAGCTTTTGGCAGCGGTAACTCCCGCTCAAAAATTCTTGGAAAGGGCAAAAGCCCAGCTACTATATCACATAACCCGAACCCATTATTTCTGGGTGGAGATGAGGAAGAGGATGATGATGATTATTACAGCAACCCACTGTTCGCTCAGAAGCATACCTCAAATACTCTTAGCGATGAAGAGGAAGAGTATGAAGGACAATACCCACATGACGACGAAGTTCTCCAAGAAGCAATACGGATGTCACTCGCAGTGCCAGGTTCGAGTTCAAGCTCACATCATATAAGTAATGATGACTTTTCAACCAACGATATTTTCATCGGCCGAGACCTCAGTGATATCGCTGAGGAAGAGGAAGAGGAGGAAGAGGAGGAGGAAGAGGAGGAGGAGGACGATGACGACGACGACGACGACGATTCAATGGTTGGCAAAGGCAAGGGCATAGCAGTGGAGAGGCGATACATTCGAAGGGAGCTGGTCCCGATCCTGCCAAAACCCGATGGTGATGATGATCTCCAGAGAGCGCTGGAAGAATCAAGGCGTATGCAGAATATGAAGCCAAGTGATTCTGGGTATAATAAACCAGGACAGGGTAGCGGAGCCTCTACTACTTTTACTGCTACTAGCTCAATGGCTCCGGCGCCGACCCTTTCGAACCCCTTTGGGGGGTTACTCCCATTCGAGTCGTTGGATTTGAGTAAAAGCAAAAGTCTCTTGACCAAGAAGAAGGAACCAGAGAAAGAAGGGCCTAATTCGGATGAGCCGAAATTAAAACAGAAGGAGAAAGAGTGTGGACGAGAGAATCCGGATGAACCATCGCTTCCGCTCCCGCCATGGTTCGTCGGTGAGACAAAGGACCTCAAAGAAGAGATGCAGAAAGCGAATCGCGAGAAGGAGGAATACATCCGCGAGAAAAGGCTAGATGACGAGAGAATCAAGATGGAAAGGGAGGAGAGGCAAAGGCAAGAAACGGAAGCGCTTGAAAAGCAAAGAGAGGATGCAGTTTTGGTCGAAAGCTCAGACGAGGATGATGTGATGGTGTTGGACTTTCCTACAAATGGGAAGAGTAAGATGAGTGATATAGCTGATAAAGCTCGAGCTGTACCCCCAAAGGCTATTCCTGAGAAGGCCACTTCACGGAAAGGCGGGGAATCTGCTGTAGGTAGCGGCGCTAATCAAGGCAGTGATGCGGAATTGGGATGGGAAGATAGTGACCACGAAGAGGCTACGGCGAAGCAATCAGCCACTTCAACTCATGGTGTGGCCCATCCAAATGCTTCAATGGCACCAGGGGACACGCCTCCACCTCCAGACCTCGAAGAGCCGGATTTCCGCGATGTCACACCTCCTTTCGAGGACGAAGAAGGCGTCTACTCAGACCCCGAAGAAGACGCAGAGCTCTTCCAATCCCTCGCCGCCGAGACCGAAGAACACGCCCGGTTTACCGCTGAGCTGAACAACAAGTCGCAGGAACAGGTCCGCGAGGAATACGAGCGCGAGCTCAAATCACTGCGTGCACAGCAAGCCAAAGACCGCCGTGATGCCGACGAAGTCACCCAAGTCATGATTCAGGAATGCCAGCAACTTCTTAAACTTTTTGGAATACCCTACATTACTGCGCCCATGGAAGCTGAAGCGCAGTGCGCCGAGCTCGTGAATCTCGGGCTTGTGGATGGGATTGTGACGGATGATTCAGATACATTTCTGTTTGGTGGTACAAGAGTGTATAAAAACATGTTCAACCAGGCCAAGTTTGTGGAGTGCTACCTTGCAAGTGATCTCGAGAAGGAGTTTAGTCTAGATAGAAGAAACCTCATCCGGATTGCACACCTGCTCGGGAGCGACTACACGGAAGGACTGCCCAGTGTTGGCCCGGTCACGGCACTGGAGTTGCTGGTTGAGTTTTCTGGTGAGGACGGCCTGGTGAAGTTTCGAGACTGGTGGACTTCAGTCCAGCAAGGTACCTCTAAGCCTACAGACGACGCAAAAAACAAATTCAAGAAGAAATTCGTAAGTCCCATCTCTTAACAAACACAGCAAGGAATAATCCTAACGATCCGTAGCGCAAAAACGCCACCAAGATCTTCCTCCCACCTTCATTCCCCGCGCCCGAGGTGGACGAAGCCTACCTGAACCCCGAAGTCGACAAGGACCCCTCACCCTTCGAGTGGGGTGTGCCCGATCTTGAGGGGCTCCGCGACTTCCTTATGGCTACCATCGGCTGGTCGCAAGAGCGCACCGACGAGGTCCTCGTCCCTGTAATCCGCGACATGAACCGGAAGCAGGTAGAGGGCACGCAGAGCAACATCACACAGTTCTTTGACGGCAGCACCGGCGCCGGCGCATTCGCCCCCAGAAAGAGGGCGGAAAATAAGAGTAAGCGGCTGGAGAGCGCTATGCTGAGTCTGCATGAGCAGGCGGTGCGGAAGCGGAAAGGACAGGATGAAGGAGAGGGTAGCGAGGACGACAACGGCGACGAGGATGAGGTGGTGGAGCCGAAGCCGAAGCGGCAGAAGAGGGCGAAGCCGAAAGCGAAGCCGAAGGCGAAAAGAAAGAATATGGCGGACGAGGACGAGGATGGGTATCGGGATGACGATGAGGGAGGGGTGGTGGAAAACGCGCCGAAGAGACGGCGGAGAGCAGCGAAGATTTAGGGGCGTGTTGTACCTGTTGGCAGAATGTTGTTATAGAAGTATATTATAATTTTTTGTGTTCTCATGTTTCTGGTTTATGTGAGCCACAAAGGTCGTGTTCTGTTCCCGCCTAGGTGGCCGCCCTGTCAGGATATTATTTGGATAGTACGCGCGCATCATTCAGGTGGCATTGGTTATTACGAGTTGATCCGAACCGGAATTCAGATAGCTAAGATTATAATTTAAATATTGTGCTCATCATGTATCAAGATCCAGAAATACTAGCACCGTCGCTCGGAGCGAGTGATATCCCGTGACGGGCTATATTTTCTTTTTTTTTGTTTAATTCATTAATTGCATATGACGGGCTATATGTGCTCTAGTACTGTCTCTTCTAGGTATCTGTATCCGTCCCTGGGCGGAGTGTATGGGTCATGAAGTTTTTGGTACTTCTCAACTAAGTATCTCGCCTCGATTCTTATACAGATCCCGATGTTTGGATCGAATAGTTTTTGTAACAACTATACACTTGCATAGGGCCAAAACTATCGCGACATGGCACAGACAATAGACACAAGTAACTTTAGTACTGTCGCTGAAATATAACCTTTATATTGGTAAATGTTCCACAAGCTGCATCTTGACCTCACATGCATATGTAGCCAGACATTGATTGGACAAGAAACAAGCTCCAAGACTTTCCCCCCGGCCCAGATCAAACTCTCCCCAGATCGAACACTCCTGAAATAAAATGACCGCTAGTTCCCAAACCCGCCTTCGATCCTCCGCGAGAAGAAATGTAAAAGGATACTACCCCCTAAACCCTGCAAAACTAGGTGTCAACATATATATATGTACATGTAGAGTAGCAATACTGTCTAAATAGGACAAAAGGTGTACTAACTAGACTCCACATACGGGGCAGGTAACACCATCGGGAAGATCCAAATCCACGCCACAAACTCCGCAGGGTTTCATTATAGGCGCTGGTAGGCTGGTATAAATCTTTGGGGTTATGGTGGGTAAGAAGGATGTAGGTACTCTAATATAGTACTAGTGATGAATGAGGATCAGGAGGGTATGGTTGATAGTGAATACGGCGGCCAGTGGATACCGCTTATACAGATATGGTGGCCGAGGCTTTTTTTTTTTTGGGGGGGGGGGGGCAGTAATAACCGCTCGTCTTTGTTATCTCAGCAGGCAAGAACCTGAGAAAAACAAGAACTTGGGCCATGCATGGATGTTGCGCCATGTCTCAAAAGCAGAGAGTATCGTACTTTAGAGTAGAGTATGTAGATGAGTCCCATCAGGTTATTAATTGGTTCTTCCAGAATATTGGATCGACTACTGCATATCCCCCGTTTTCAACTTGGCTTGTGCATAGTACAACTCCCCGGCCATTTTTGCCTCGATACCCCCATCTTTCGACCTTCGAGTGATCGAGAGTGTGGATAAATCTCAGGGTTTTATAGAGTAGAGATAGCCAATCTGTCAATTACCTGCAGTCGCGGCCGGAACTCAATGCGCCGGATCTCTAGCTTGCTGCTGTCCCATAAGTACGCACGAGACCCACTGAGACCATTACCTTTCATACCAGTGCAAGATCAATTTGCTTATATCCTGTACATACGAAAATTGTTAGAATCTTGGCGCAATCTGGCATATCCAGTTGCGACTGTAGTAGAGTAGACAGTAGCAAAGTCGTATAGATAGATGTAGATACCTACTCTAGAGTAGAAGCCATGATCTACAACGATAGGACGCCAAGCACTCACAAGTGACATCACGTTACGCAAGTCCCGGGACATGTTGAGCTGAACCAAGTCATACTCGATCAACGGATCGACAGCTGCAGTCGTAAAACAAGCGACGTACGGTGATCTTAGCCCATCACAAAACGTTAGGACAGAGCCCTACCGCTCGGTCTCTTATTGCCGGAGCTTGCCTTGTAGTCTACAATTCATAATATCCCTCCTATGATACATACATATCAGTGCCGGATTTAAATCAGTATGTATTGCTGGAACAGGGTTCCCGTAGGGAAAAAGTGACTAATCAGTCTGCCTTTCCGCATATGCAATGGAAAAAATGTGGTTTTTCTTTCTTTTTCTTTCGGAAAATCAGTTTTTCCGTTTTATTTTTCTTTGTCCTTTGTTCTTTTTGTGAGTGGCACACGGACTTTTTGGGAGTGGCTAAGCATATTTTCGGTTTTTTGATCTCTTTCTAGTAGTTAGATGATTTACTTTCACAACTATAGATAAAAGCCTAAAGTAGCTAGTCTTTAGAAATTAATAATCATAGACACAAAAAATCAATCCAGGTCAGAATCCATGAGTTTATATACTTACTTTGGTCAGCTATGTACTAGGCCACATAGCGCGTGTATGTGTCTGTAGATAGGTGTTTTTGACGTAGCGCAGCTCCAGCATACGAAGTGGAACGAATAGCGGTTTGTTCGTGGTCATGTTATCCCAGGAAAGCATGGTTACTGAGCGAGTGATAATCCATGAGCCTCGATCCATCATATCTGCCTATAAATTGGGCCCAAAAAAGCAGTACACACGCAGAAATTAAGGGCCTCGTTGATTAACTGCCCTCCCTCCATAGAGACGGCTAACTAAAACGATATTTCATATATTGTAAACTTAAGCTTAAGCGTCTATCTCACGGGTGATCACTCGATCCTGCAATTAACCACAACTACGAGTGTCCTACATACAAAATTCCGTTGGCAGGAGTGTTCCAACGCTTGGGTCTTTCTCTATATGTAGTCTTTCTGTTTAATTCCGTGGGCAGTGAAGAAATATATAGAAAAATCATCCTTTTTCTAGAGTAGGTATAGCCACGAACCAATCGGCCCCTTCCAGCAATTGCAAATACTCGAAAAATCAACTACTTGAATCCCAATTAACCAAGTAAGTACTACTACACTCAAGGCGGCCTAGCTAGTCGAACGCAAAATAACCACCCAGGCACACATCCTCCATCCCCTCATGCTCAGAGGACCAAAAGAAAAACAAAAACGAAAAAGAAGAATCAAGATAATCCATACCCCACATCCCATCAGTACAGCCCCATAACCCGCACACGTTTAAAAAAGAATAATCGTAAAGAAAACAATGGAATATAGAAAGAAGTTATCCTACAACTAACTACTGCCAACTAACTACTGCCAACTAACTACTGCCAACTAACTACTCATCACAAACCTCTCCCCTATCAACCTACGTCTTCGTGGGCACGCCCACCCCACCCCTCCTCCTCCCCTCAACACACCTCCCCACCACCCCGTCCACCACGCTCCTCCACGCGCCCTCCACGCCCAACATCTTCCCCACAAACTCGCCCACCGCCTCCCCATTCACGCCGCCATAGACGACCCTCGCCGCACTCTGCACGCCTAGGTCCGCGTCCACCGCAACCTCAATCACAACCTTACTCCGCACCTCTGCCACCAGCACCTTAATCGCCACCAGCAGCCGTCCCTCCTCCTCCTCCTCCCTAACAACCACCGGATACCACCCGCGCACCCTCTCAATCTCCTCCGCAACGCCCAGGCACCGCCGCCAGAACGCATCCACCTCCGCCACCGCGCCCTTCAGCGTCCGCCCGCCCACAACAAGCCGTCTATTCAGCGCGCCGACGAAGAAGTCCCGCTCCGCCTCCTCCAGCGGCAGCGGGTCCGAGGGCTTCCGCACAGCCTCAACCACATACTCGACGGTCGTCGGCGCAGCGCCAGTAGCATCCCACAGCACCCTCAACTGCCTCAGGAACGACAACTCCACGACACTCCCCCCGCGCACGCCCACAACACTCCACCCACAGCGCCTCTCGAGCTCATCCGCCCTCGCCGCCCACCCCGCAACCTCCTCCTCGCTCCACCCCCGATTCTGCTCCTTCACGCGCTCCGCCTCATCGATCGCCGCCTGCAGCTCCGCCTTCCGCGCGCCCCTGGCCCCAATACCCTCATTGACCTCCTCCAGCTCCTTACTTCGCTGCGCCAGCTTCATCTTCACCTCCTCGATGCGCCTCGCCACACCCGTGAGCCCCTCCCTCGCCCTCGCCAGCTGCTCCTTATCATCACCCTCGCACCTCCTCCGCGCCTCCTCCAACCTCGCCGCCGTCCTCTCCGCGCCCTCCCTCCGCGCCCTCCACCCCGGCAACACCTCCTCCGCCGCCACCCTCGCACTCTCCAGCGCTTCCTCATCCCCACGCATATCGCCCAGGTTCGCCTCCAGCGCAGTCTTAACCCCGTCCATGAGCTGCCGGCGCCACTTGTACCAGATGCCGCGCGCGAGCAGGCGCGCGTGCGTCTTGACGTTCTTGAACTGCGTGTCCATGATCACCTTCACGTCCGGCGGGGCGTCGAGGTACTCGCGGAACAGCGGCGGGTTGTCGTCCGATGTGTCGTGCTCGATCTCTTTTACGATGGCCCGGCCCTCCTTGATGTATTGCTTGAGCTCGCGGCACGAGTGCTGGAAGAGCTCGAGCATGGGCACGGTGCAGGCGCCGGCAATCACGCAGTCGGCCATTGGCGCCTCTGCGGCGGGGTTCTCGTCGCCGCCTACGTCGCTGCGGCGCCCGGTGGTGCCGCGGCGCAGATCGAGGCCCGGAAAGCCAGTCTGGCGCCGCTTGGTGGTTGTGAGACCGTCGAGGAAGCTGATGCTCGTCATTGACAAGAACTGCTGCAGCGTGATCCTCTCCTGCTCTTCCTCTGACTCTGACCCTTCAATCTCCTCCTCATCGGACGACTCTTGCATCTTCTCATCCTCCACCGGCTTCGTCTTCGACGGCGGCGGCGGAGGCGCCATCGGACTACTCGACATAGCCCCGGCCACCACCACTGGCTCCTCCGCAATCGTGACCGCCTTCCTCCTCGGCGTCCTCCCCTGCCCCGGCGTCGGCAGACTCGGCGCCTTATCAAAGTCAAAGTTCCTCCTCGGCGTCGTCGCCGCCATCGTCTTCGCAGCACCAGCCTCAAAGCTCTTCCTCCGCTTCCCACCCCCCAGATATCCCCCGCCTCCTCGTCCTCCTCACCCCTCTCATGCTTCCTCTGCAGCAGCGCGCCATAGGCCAGACTCTTTCGTGCCGCCTTGCGCGGCGTCAACAGGTCGATACGGCTCTTCAGATCCAGCCCCTTGCGGCGCTCCATCTCCATCTCGCGCTCGCGCTGCGCCTCTTCGCGCTCCGCGGCAGCGTCGGCCTGGCTAGCCTTCAACAAATCCCTCGGCGCCGCCGCCTGCGGCGAGAACGGCAGCGTAATCTCCGTCAGGCTCTTCCTCGCCGAGAGCTTCGCCGCGACGCGGGGCGAGCCCAGGCCGAGCTTATTGATGCCGACGCCCCTGGTCGTGCTCGGCGAGTCCGGGGCGGTGTCGTCTGTGCGCGGGGCGGTGATGCGGTTTGCGGGCGAGGGCGAGGTCGGGAAGGTGCTGGGTTTGTTGTGGTGCTTTGTGCTGAGGGAGAAGAAGCCGGGTGTTGTGACTTGGCGCAGGGGCGTCTGGATCATGGGTGTGTGCTTGCTGGGTGTTTTTGGGCGCGGGGGGATGGCGGGCGTGGCTTGGCCGGGGGGGGTCTGCGGCTGCGAGGGCGGGGCGGGCGTCTTTTTCTGCGGGGTTGCGAAGACGAAGTCGGGCTTTGCGGGCTCGGCGGGGGGTGCGGAGGTTGATGTTGATGTTGAGGTTGAGGTTTGAGGCGCTGGTGCTGGTGCTGGTGGGGTGAGTGTTTCGGCGGGTTTCTTGCCTTGGTTCTTTGGTGTTGCGCTCTTCGCCTTTGGTGTCGCCGCCTTCCTGGTGGGCGTCTGCCGCCTCTGAACAACGGGAGTCTCTGCTCTGGCCTCAGCCTCGGGCGTGTTCTCAGCAGCTTTCTTTTCTTCAGCGTGCGGTGGTGCATCAGGCGTCTTCTTCCTAGCACTGCGGGTGACTCGTGGTGAAGCAGCAGTAGGAGTAGTAGGAGTAGCAGTACTCGCAGCACTGCTGCTGTTGCTCCTCCTGCTGCTTCTCCCGCCGCGCTTGGCCGGCGTGGGCGAGGAGGTGGCCTCCAACTCCTCCTCCTGCTGCTGCTCCTGCCCCTCGGCCGTCGTCCGGGCAGGAATCGACGCGGGTGTCCATTCGTCGTCTTGCTTGTTGTCGGTTTTTGAGGGCAGGATTGAGCCAATGGCGGTCGTGATGTCCATCGTGACGCCGTCCATGTCCATCTCCATATCCACATCGCCATCGTCGTCGCTGTCTCCGCCTTCATCCACGCCCGTGTCCCTGCCCGGGAACGCCGACGCCGGCGGTGCCTCATCCTGCCTCGATATGATCCCTCCCACCGCCACCGTGAAATCCATATCTCCACCCCCTTCTTCTCCGTCTTCATCTTCATCTTCATCTTCATCCTCCTCTCCCTTCTTCTCCTCCCCCTTCTTCTGCGCCTCCTGCTGCCTCGCCCACTCCGCACCACTCATGAGCTTCCCCGCGCCACCGCCCCTGGCCAGCGAGCTTCTCCGCCCACCGCCACCGGTCCTCGACCCATCAATGATCCCGCCAAGCACAGACGTAAACTCCATCGTCATCTCCTCATTCCCCGCGTCATCCGAGCCCGCCGGCGACGACGACGCAAAGCGCGCAGCCGGCTTCGCAGGCGCAGGTGCAGCAGAGATGATACCGCCGACGGGCCGCGTCATATCCATATCCATCGTCATATCCCCACCTACCGGCGAGGACGGGAACTCCGCTTCGGTTTCGGTCTCGGTCTCGGTCTCGGTCTCGGGGGCCGTCGCGAGGATGCCGCCGAGCGCGACAGTCATGTCCATCGTCATCCCGTCTTCGTCCGCCTGTGCCGGCGCAGCGGGGGCGGAGGAGGAGGTGAAGAAGCCGAGTGATTTCCGCGTTGCGCGTTGAAGGGCGTTGGCGGCGCTGGACAGGATCCCGCCGATGGGACGTGTCATGTCCATGTCCATGGTCATGTCCTCCTGGTTCTCCTCTTTCTCGACATACGGGTTGCTGAACGTCGGTGGGAGGACGCCGCCAATGGCGCGTGTCATGTCCATCGTCATCTCGCCGCCATCGTCTTCGTCTTCTTCTTGGTCCGCGTCGTCCTCCTTCGACACCGGCAGCGCCGGATACTCAACCACCGCCGGAAGCAGCCCGCCCACGGCGCGTGTCATCTCCATCGTCATTTCCCCCCCTTCATCTTCTCCGTCTCGGTCTCCGTCTTCCTTCAGCGACTTTGCAGCCGCCAGTTTCGCAGATATTGACGCAGCACTCTGTCCCTCCCCATCATCGTCGCTCTGGTCCTGGTCAACAGGGTCCTCAACAGTCTCCGTGCTCCCCTCCAATTTCCACGCCTTCCGCGTCCCAAACGCGCCAAACCCCGCGCCCGTCACCTCGTCGTCCGCAATATCCATCGTCATCTCACCCATCGTCTCGTCCCCACCCATCGTCACAAACGTGCGATCCCCCGCTCCCGGCTCATCATCATCATCGTCCTCCGAGCCGGACTCCGACTCCTCATCCGAGTCCAGCCCACTGCCATCATCATCCCCCTGCGCCATCCCCCCAAACGCACTGCCCGGGCTCGACGAAAACGGCGACGAGGAAAACACCGGCGACTCAAAGCTCCTCTTCTGCTGCGCCGCGCCCATCGGCGTCGCCGGGTCCTGCGCGCTACCACCGCCGCCCAGCGCCTCCGGCAGCCGCACAGGCGTGTCGTCCGCCGCGAGCGACGTCTCTGTCGGCGTCGCCTCAATGGTGCTAAGGTTCCCGGTCGCCCTGTTAGCCGGCGTGCTAGCGGTGCTGCTGCCACTGCTCGAGGGCGTGCCGGCGGTGCCAGCGGGGTAGTACTCGATGACGTCCCATGTGTGGAGGGTTGCCTCTGGCGCGAAGGAGACGCGGCGATTGCCCATTGACTGGCGGCGGGCGGCGCGGGCGGCGAGGATCTCGGCGCGGCGCTGCTGCTCCTCTTCGGTGCGGATGGGGACGGTGGTGGTGGGGGGTGGGGGGTTGAAGTTGAGGGCGCCGCTGGAGGAGGAGGAGGGGGTGGTGGTGGTGGCGGTGGGTGCTTTGGAAGGTTTGCCGGTGGGCGCTGAGGACTGGTGGGTGGGCGCCATGGTGAAGGGGGGGAGGGGGGCGCGGGTGGAGCGTGTGCGGTGCGCGGGGATGGGCTTGAGGGGTGAGATGGGGAGGGTGGGTTTGAGGATCGATTTTACGGTGGCGGCGGGGGCGAGCTGTGGTGGTGAGAGGGGTTAGCTTTCTGGAGTAGAGCTGGAGAAGATGTGATCAATCAATTCGCCGTAAGTGAGACTGCGGGAGTGTGGGGCGGTGGAGTGTAGATGCAGTCTAGAAGCAGAGGAGATGTTTGGACGGAGAAGGAAGGAAGGGCAGAAGTAGACATAGCTCATGTACTTGAAGAACCAGCAGCAGCAGAGCGATATTCAGACAAACACTCCAGTTCAATCCAATCCCGCAGAAAGAAGGTGAAAAAGAAAGAAAGAAAAGAAAAGAAAAGAAAAGAAAAAGAAGAAAAGCCTACAGATTCCCTCCTGCCATTCCCACTCCCGCTCTTCAGCCCATTCCCACTTCTCCCCGCCTCCGCACCACCACCACCACCACCACCACCCGCGTCCAGCAGTCCTCCCGGCCCCAGACTCTTCGACCTCGACTTCTTCTTCGGCTTCAATGCCAGTGTCGCTGCGCTCTCCTTCTCCTTCTCCCTCTCCCTCTCCCTCTCCCTCTCCCTGCTCTCCTCCCCCGGTGCGCTGCCGCTGCTGCTTGTTGCGGCCGCATTCGTCGGCATCACTGCAATCGACTTTCGGGAGCGCCGCTTCCCCGGTGCTGCATTGTCGCTCGACGACATTTCTGGCCTTTCTGTTGTGTTTCTGGGTGTTTCGGTGTTTGGTGTTGCCAGTGAGGGGGGGTTCACATGTGTCTGCTGTGCGTGAGTGTGTGGTGTACCGCTCGCTGCTCGGGTTTCTAGCACGGGTTGCGAGTGTGAGGAAATTCAAGCTGTGGGAGTCGCGAGTTTTTTGGTGTTTGTTGTTGTTGTTGCTGCGGGCAGGGATGATGCAGTATAATCTGATCTAATCCGATCTAATCCGATCTAATCTACAATCTGTAATCTGATCTGCTTTGATCTGATCTAATCCATCTCCATCTAGGGCACCAACCCTCCCCTCCCTCCCCACCCACAGTCCCACCCCACAACGCCCAAGCAACAACCGCGCACACATGCCCGTTGCACCCTAGGCCGCGCAAACCACCGCAAAAAACACTATCACGAACGACGAACGAACGAACGACGACTGCCCGACCGACCGACAAGCCCCACGAAAAAAAGACCAACCCAAGCAAAAAAAAAAAAAATACAGCAACCATGGCCACCGAATTGACCGTCCAGTCCGAGCGCGCTTTCCAGAAGCAGCCCCACATCTTCCTCGCCAGCAAGACCCGCCCTGCGAAGCGCAGAGTCGGCAAGGGCGGCAGGAGATGGTACAAGGACATTGGGTTGGGCTTCAAGACCCCCAAGACCGCCATTGAGGGGAATTATATCGGTTAGTTTTTTTTTTTTTTTGTGTGTGATTTTTGGTTTTCGTTTTGCGTTGGAAGGATGGATGGATGGATAAAGAGAGGATTGGGAAAGGGGGGGGGGGGGGGGAAGTTCTGGCTATGGATTCTATATCGAATTTCTCGAAAATTCAATATCCCAGAAAACGGGTTACTACGTGCCATCTTTCAACAACAGAAACACTAACCTCCAGCAACTCCACAGACAAGAAGTGCCCCTTCACCGGCCTGATCTCCATCCGCGGCCGTATCCTCACCGGCACCGTCGTGTCCACAAAGATGCACCGCACGCTCGTCATCCGCCGCGAGTACCTGCACTACATCCCCAAGTACAACCGTTACGAGAAGCGCCACAAGAACCTCGCCGCGCACGTCTCGCCCGCCTTCCGTGTCGAGGAGGGCGACCAGGTCACCGTCGGCCAGTGCAGGCCCTTGTCCAAGACTGTTTGTTACCCCCCACCTAGTTCCGCGTGCTTGACATGAGACTTGAGAAGAGCTACGGGCAAGATGGCGAGCGCGTGTTCCACCACCAGAAACTTTATCCATGCCATATATGTGTGTTTCCTTTGTGGAAACTGGCTGCGGGATAAGGGTGGAACCCGTCGCGAGCGTCGAGAACCCCCCTCGAGTACTTGTACCCCTCCCTGCAGTGTGCTGATCCGTGGTGTCCAGGTCCGCTTCAACGTCCTCCGCGTCCTCCCGCGCACCGGAAAGAACACAAAGTCGTTCCAGAAGTTCTAGATTGTTTTGTGGGGATGCAGGGTCAAGGGTCTTGTGTTTTTTTTTTTCCCCGCTTCTCTAGTACTGTCTTCTTACAGCAATTAAAAAAAAAAAAAACATGGGGAAATAATATTCTTCTTTTTGCGGGCTTCGGAGCGAGCATACAGCTACTACTACTATGATGGTGAACGAATCTGGCCAAAAAAGAAAGAGGGATTTGGAGAGCAGCAGAGAAAGACGGGGGAAGGCATCTGTATTTCCCGAACCGAAGGAAAATACTAGAAACACAAAAAAAGAAGAAATATCTTGGGATCTGATTCGAAAAAAAGGGCGTTTTATTTTTCTTTTTTCTTTATAGCTTTTTTCTTGTCTTTTACTTTGGGGCATATAGCTACGCCGGGGGCTGGGGGAAAAAAGTTTGAATGTGAATATGGGTTCAAGACATGTTCTGTTCTGTCGGGGGATTCGAAGCTGTTTAGTAAAGCTGTAGATAAAAAGCCTGTGATGACTATTCGGCGGCTCATAATAATCCGAGCTGCAAGCTAGCTCTCCACCACCAGTCGTCACCAATAACATCTCCCACCTAATGACAAGCCATCCCATCCATAGAACTGAAACCATCTCCAACCACACTACATCCAGCATCCCATTCAGCCCCAATCCCCCCCCTCACACCCCCACCACCTCCTCCACCACCGCAACCTCCACCCCACCCCTCCCCCAAACCCCCGCAGTCACCTCGCCCCCTTCTTCTCCTCCACCTCAATCTTAACCACATGCTCCCCCGGCACCACCACAAGCCCAATATACCTGCTCTTCAGATCCAGCTTCACCTTTTCCCCCCCTCCTTCCCCTCCTCCCCCTCCCCCTCCCCTCCCCGCCCTCCTTCTCCTCCCCACCCTCCCCCGCCGCCTTCTCTGCCGCCGCTGCTGCTGTCGCAGCGGCACTCACATCCCGCGCGCTCGGATAGCGGTACTCATGTGTCGACGAGAGGATCAAGTTCTTATCCTACATACCCCGCGCCCCCGCCCCGCCCCACGTTAGCCCCCCAACCCTCCCCCCAACCCTCCAAACGAAAACCAGAAAGGCAGACAGGAGACGTACTTTATCAGTACACTTCAGCTCACCGAGGAACACCCGGGTGTCGGTGGTTGTGACGCGGAGCGTGCGGGAGATGAAGGATTGCAGGAAGGGCGATGGCGTGGGCGTGGTGTCGGGGATGTTCATTTCTGCTGCGGCGGCGGCTGTGGTGTTGAGTTTTTGGGGAGAGTGGGGGTTGTGTGGTAGTGGGGTTGGGGAGTGGATGTAGGTAAGGTAAGGTGAGGAAGTGTAGGTGGGTAGGGATGTGGTATGGAGTGGGTTAGGGTTTTGGGGGGTAGATGATGGTTTTACTGATTTCTTTGACAGGTTCTCTTGTCGTTTTTTTCTTCCATTACTTCCTACATTGATTCCTTCATTGGCCAGAACAGATCGAGGAATAAAAAAGCAAAGTCGCCATAAGATCCTGAACTAAAAAAAAAAAAAATAAAGGAATCGCCAAAACGATGGGCAGCTCAGAATCACTTAAGGGATCTTCTATATACCATTGGATGTCGCTGAATTCTCAATTGAGAAAAAAGTTACAGGTCTCATGAGAGGCCTGTGTCCCTCTTCGAACTGTTTTGTGCTCTGACTCGGAGTTGAACGGAGGGTCTCAGCATTTCGTACTAGCGCTGCGCCTTACCAACTTGGCCACCAGAGCAGATATTCTCGTGTAAATATTTGCCAAAGTGTATGGTCATTACCTTGCAGACTTTACACGAAACGACAAAAGTCCAAATGCCTTGCGAAAAGCTTTGGAAACTCATACTAGAGCATTAACGGTGGACTTAACACGATGGTCCAAGTTAAATCTCCCTTTTTACGGGTTCAATGATCAAGATGCGGTTGTATCCGTGTCATGGAAAATCACTCGGACTGGCATTTCGTCACAACCCCAGTGGGGAATAGAGCTTCCCCCAAGCGTGTGGTTTGCAGAATTAGTAGGTTTTGGATGTTCCACCAGGCATCTACTAGTAGGGGTCACACTGCAGTACTGATCCGGCGGCGCGCAACAGAGGCCGGGGTACATGCAATTTATTACCCCACAGGGGAGGGACAAGAAACAAATCGCTGCAACCAAACATGCGGAGACTGAATGGCGCCACACAAGGAATCTGAGGCGAAAAGCAAGTTCAACAAAGGATCTGAAATGATGACATCCTGTAACGGTTAAAGTTAACCGATGCCGGCACGGGAGCTGAGCTTCTGGGCTCTCGGAATTGGTTCTCTAGTGCTTGTTCTGCACACATCGCCTTCTCAGAGTGACGTGAATTTGAGGACTAGATGCTCTCCACTTTTCAGTGGCTGTCCCGCTGTTCTTTGAGGGTCGCATTTTACAACTCTCTGTTGGGTTTTTGCTGGATCAAGTAGTGGTATGAATTCGTTCAGAGGTCCAAAGAACTCGGGGTTTGATCCCTTACTTTAAATGAACGGAACGCTCGTCGTTGGAAAGGGGCTGCTATGCAGTTGTCAATTATACCCACAGGTGAAATATATCAGACCTTCAGGGCCTCTTAAGGTTCTGGCCCTAGCTTCGGGTATGACGGGGATGGCTTGTCAGAGTTCTTGTTGCATGACGCATTGAGATATGATGTCATACCACAAATCCGTTTTCAGAAGAGAAGATCTTAAGAACAAGATGAGAAAAAGGGCTTCTTGCTCGTCCCATTTCTCTACATCTTCTTCTCCTTTCTTTTTCTTCTTCTTGATTCCTCCTATAATCACCATATTTTCACACCTACAGTTTCTCTCGAAACTGGTTGGTTGTCGCTGGATCTTCGCTAGGAATACGTCGGAATAATTCTAGCTCTCGTGGCCTGCATAGCTCCCTGTATATAACCTTAACCCTGACCTTACAACACTACACTTTACCAATTGGCCCTTCCTATCAACCATACTTCAATCATCGGAGTGTAAAACCTCAATTTTTCTGGCCTTTATACACATTAGTGTAATTATAATCATTCAGAATGCATCGAACCTACTCCATGCGGCAGTCGAGGGCGCCGACCCAGTCGCAGATCGAGAAGCCACCTCCTCCGCAAAGCTCTACGAAAGTTGGAAGGCTGTTTGGAACCTCAAACATAGGTTGGTAACCACTAAACGCCCTATGTCTACAATTGTCTTTGTTTCTCGCGTTCATTTTCGGCGTTTCTTGGTTTCTGGGTGTTCTTTGAGTTATCCTAATGAATGATTAAAGCGAGCATTTGAGGCAAAGGAACATGCTGACGTTTTCATACTTCTTTGGAGCCTCTACAGGACATAATCTTCGCAAATCTATGGCGGGTGCTTAGTAGGATTCTCACTTCTAATAAATTTCCAGAAAAGGTCCAAAGTACTGACTATACCTTTCACCGTAGCGGCCCAGATCTGTCCAAGAAGCTTTCTCAGCTGGTGAAAATGGAGAAGAATCTTATGCGGTCTATGGAACTTGTTGGACGCGAACGGCGTGAGGTTGCTCGCCAGCTCTCGATATGGGGTGAGGAGTGTGACGAGGATGTTTCTGATATTACGGACAAACTGGGTGTGCTCATCTTTGAGGTGGGTGAGTTGGAGGACCAATTTATCGACAGATACGATCAATACAGAGTTACTATTAAGAGTGTGCGGAACATTGAGTCTAGCGTTCAACCCAGCCGTGATCGTAGGTTTATCAATTATCTTTGCTGAGGTGGTTCACTGATTCTTTGGTTAAAAAAAATAGGCAAACAAAAGATCACCGACCAAATCGCTCAACTAAAATACAAGGACCCTACATCTCCCAAAATCGTGGTGCTTGAGCAGGAGCTTGTCCGTGCAGAAGCCGAGTCACTTGTGGCTGAGGCGCAATTGTCCAATATCACCCGTGAGAAAATCAAGGCTGCATTCACGTACCAGTTTGATGCTCTTAGGGAGCACTCTGAGAAACTTGCATTGATTGCTGGATATGGAAAGCATCTGCTGGCGCTCGTGGATGACACCCCAGTTACACCTGGTGAGACGAGGCCGGCCTATGACGGATATGAAGCTAGCAAAGGGTATGACATCATTGTTCCCCGTCAATCGTTTTTGCATTCGTTTTCTAACAAACCTGCTATACAGCATTATCCAGGACTGTGAGGATGCTCTTACAAACTGGGTCGAGGCCAAAGCTGCCGTTCGCTCCCGCCTTTCCCAGCGTGGGTCTCGCCCACACCGTACCCATGGACGTGTCACCCGTGCCGGCGCCGGCGAAGGAGTGTCTCTCGCCGATCAAGACCGCCCCATGCAACGTGGTTCCAGCGAGTGGGTACCAGCTGACGAACATCATCACCGCAATCATCGTGAGAATGATGATGATTATGAAGACATTACCGATGACGAGAACGGCCACCACAGGCACTTAGACGGTGATGGCACTCGCGGTATGCGTGGTGCCCGCAATGGGGCCGTCTTGAATGACGGCGGCGCTGAGCTTCACGCTCGGGATGGTGAGGCAGTCCTGGCGGATTGACAGACGTCGAACGCCGGCAGAAGTGGCGTGTCGACAAATGATAAGATGGGAAATGGAAGGTCTCGCAAGCGCGATAGCGGTGTTGGCGGGGTGGACGGTGGCAGGGGATATGGACACGGCGTCACTTCCATGAATACTGATGGAGGTGGTGTGAGCTCCAGAGCAAATGGCGGATATGATGGAAGGTATACTTCTGATACCAATATTATGGGTAGTATGAGCAGGGGTCATGATAATGCACGTTCTAATAATTCTACTATACCCATTCCTGTTTCTGATGTTGGTCGCGATTCTGTATTACATGTTTCTCCCGGTGTCAAGGAATCTAATTCAAATTTGGCTCCTTATATGATCGGTCGTGGTGGTGTTGGTTCTCATGGTAGTTCAATTCCTGGGACTGGCTACGGTACTGGATCCGGAACTCGGACGTACTCAGCACCTCGTGAAGATTATGGCCCTCGTTCGTATGCGCAAAACGTAAACGTGGGCCCCTCTCGTTCTGGACCCTCCGAACATCGAACTGGTGAAACCCATGCCTCTCCACATCCCGGAGGCGGGTTACCTTACAGCCGTGATACCGCATCCCAGTTTGGTCTCGGTCCTAGTTCCGGTGAGCAACATTCTGGTAATAGAGATTATGCTGCCAGAGAAGACTATTCAGGACCATCTGCTACCCGGAATGTAGTCGATACTGCGGCAAACGCGGCATCAATCGTTGGGGATACGGCTGCAAGTGCGGCCTCCTATGCCGGAGACACAGCTATAAACGCAGGATCCTATATGGCAGACACTGTCTCCTCCATGAGGCCAATGGAGAAAGCGGCCAATGCGGCATCCTACGTTGGGGATACAGCAATTGCTGCAGCGTCATATGCTGGGGATACAGCTGCAAATGCTGGATCCTATATGGCAGATACAGTCAAAGAGATGAGACCGATGGATACTGCAGCGAATGCGGCATCATATATCGCCGATACAGCCAGAAGCGTCGCTCCTCCGGCCGGCCCTTCTTCTAATCTTCAGGCAGAAACTGGTCCTGCAGCCTATGAAAGTAATTATTCTCCGGGCGACGCCTCAGGTTATGACAGCCGTACATACGCCTCTAGTGACAGAGCTTCTATCACGCAGAAGATAGTAGACACGGCGGCGAATGCGGCGTCCTATGTTGCAGATACAGCTAAGGATGTTGCTTCTGGTATCGGTCTTACTTCTGGTACTGGCCCCAGCACTACAACTGGAGAAAGACAATACACGGGGTCCGAAAATGGTGATTATTCTTCCGGTGGGGGCATTACCGCAAGACCAGTTTCGGACACGATGGCAAACACTGCGTCCTATGTGGTAGATACGGCGAAAAACGTTGATTCTAGTATGGGAATTACGCCTAGCAGTGATATTGGGAATTATGCCGAGAAAAAGGCAGGCTCAGACACTGTACCTCGTGGTTACAGTATTGGTACTGGAACCGGATTTGGATCTGGCAATAGCTACAACCCCCAATCCCGCTCCCGCGGTATGCCTGGAAGCTTTGATGATAGCTATAACAACTCTTCTAACATTGTGGGGATGGATGGAGGCGGCGCTAGGAGAGCAAATTTTGTTTCTTATAGGGGAGGAGCATACATTTCAGGCCATGACAGTCACGATAACGCAACTAGAGATACAGAAGAAGTTCCTTTCAATACCGGTCGAGACGGAGGAGGAGATAAGGCACGAATGGGCCAGCGACTACGTCGTGAGAGCCTGGATCGTGATAGGATAGAGCATGAGCAGAAAGAGCATGAGAGAGCGATGCGTGAGCGTATGGAGCATGATATGCAACGTGCACGCACGTATAGGGAGCGCATGGATCGCGAACGAAACAATACTAATCAGACGGGAGCATGGCCTGAACGACGCAGGTCTCTTGGAGAAAGATACATCATCACCAGAGACGGAGGCGCAGCAATGCTAGACCCAGGTCCACAAGGAATTCCAAGGACTTACGAGGTAGCGGGCCCTACAGGAGGTGCTCCTCGCGATGACGCCAACCGTAAAGCCGAACGTCTCCGCGAAGAATTGGAAAAAGAGATGCAGGATACACAAAACGAAGCCCTCAAATTGGCAAGGGAGAGGAGCACTGGGGAACCTTCAGGAACAAACAGTTCACAAAAGATTTCCAGTCCTGGACAGAAATACTCTTCCCTCGTCAGCCAGGATCCAGGCCCGCTAGATGTCAAGCGTGGTGGAGATGAAGGAATGGGTAATATCCCTGGTGCTTTTGAGGATACCAAACGCAATAATCCTGTACGCGCCAATCTCGAAATGGAACAAGCTGAACGAGAACGAGAATCTGAGAGGTCTGCCCGCAGGTCATCCATGGACAGACATCGTGCCACTGATACAGGTCATGGCTCTGGCCCTGGGGGAATGATGACAACCATGAGAAATGACTCGGAGTACCGAGACCAGAAACTGGATGATACTGGACGATTAGTAACAGATGAGAGGCAAAGGGAATACGATGTCCGGGAAAAGATTGAGAGCCAATTCGAAGGGGATGACGACGACGATGAAGTAAGGAAAAGCCTATTGGGAAGGGCAGCAAGCAAAATGGGGAATTTGTTGAAGACCTAAAGGCTCAAATTATGTTTACTTTCTTCATTTTAAAGTTGACTTATTGTGTTTGTTCTTTTATTTCATGTCAGAGAGTTATCTCCTCATCCACTTCTGTCGGCTGGTGGAATTCGTGTCGTTCAGCCTTTCTTTTCGTACTACGTTTTTTATCTTTTAATGGTGGGCAAGCCCGTGTTGGCTCCTGGTATCTTGTTAACTCATAATGTTTGTGACTCACCAATTTACTCTATGCATTTTATCTAGTATTCTATCGAAATTCTACCTCGACCGGGCCGGTCGACTGGGTACATCAAGTATCCTTGTACTCAATCAATTTTAGTGTTCACTCATAGGCCATCACTCGAAACAATCTTACCTTATCACTCGATCCCTGCTAGCAGTATTAAAAATCTCAGAGCTCCAATAATATCAAGCGCCGTTGGTGCAGGGGTAGCATAGTTGCCTTCCATTGAGCTCCCTCTTGGGAATCTTGATAGCAACTGGGAAGGGTTCGAGTCCCTTACGGCGCATCGTTCAACATTGTACATTACAATCCATCGTCCTAGCAATGGGTTGTAGTGTCCTTTTTTGAAACTTATCCTTTAAAACTTTGGCCTCCATTAATACATACAAGTTGTGATTAAACTCTGCGATTTGGTATCTCCTCAGAAGTACTGTAGGTCTTCAATCATTGAAGATTTTTATTAATGATAACATCCTGAGTAGGTTGCGCCGGGGTCTAGGCTGCCCTTTCTGTTACAGGGTAAATTAATGGCATTAGATTTAATATACGTTTTTCCAGTCTAACAATCTGCGGAAAATACTACATGCATCATGCAACTGCAGTCTTACTACACCCCTGTGATCCATGTTCTAGCTACTAATTGCAACAGCTACTACGGATCCAATTTAACTAGCCATGTGCATTGTTTCCTGATCCAAATTTAAAAAGCTCTCTCTCTCACCAACATAAATTTCGTGAAACTGAGCTGCAATCTCTATGTAGGCCCCAAACATCAAAGGGTTGTTTAGCATAAAATATGCATCGGCGATCAAAGCAAAGTTGTCTGAGAGATCACTTCCCGCGGACATATCTCCATACTTTCTGAACGAAATCTTACCCCGCTCCATATCTTCCTCTATATCGAAAGCCAATGCTGTCACCAGACTCTTCGTAGTCTCGATGAACAACTCATGACTCTTGAGCTCCCGATATATTTTAGCAAGAGTCAACAGGCCACGGGCCAAGATATGCCGAGGTTGCTCGGCGGATGGTCTTTTATATGTATTCTCAAGCAACTCGACAAGCAGGATGAGTTTGGGCAAAGAGCTTATCAAAACCCTGAGATGTGGGTTCTCAAGCAGCTTTTCGAACTCGAGAATCTTTATAAGGATTTCGCCACGGTGCATTCGATCAGCTTCGGTTTCCAGCTCTTCGACCGTGCAGAGACAGCAATCACATGTAAATTTCCAATTGTCGAGACAGGTGCGCCGACGTTTATTGATGTCGCCAGGGTTCAGGTATGAGAACGTTACCTCTACACCCTTTTTTATGTCTCCTCCAGCTCTTACAAGCATCATATCTCCGATGAAAGATCGAACAACTGCACCGGGGCCCCAACACGCATGGTTTATGTAAGATGGTGTGATCCAGAGACCACAGCCGTCCTTGTGCCCTGTCAAGTAAGCATGGCTTGCAGTGCTGATTATTGGACAGGAGAAATTGTTCAAACGTTGGGCTTGGTACACCCGGAACCTAAGTTGAACTCGAATTTAGTACTTCATACGATCCCAATATAGAGATATAATAGTCTGGTGAGCTATACGTATCAACAATAGGTCTTCCATCAACAAAGCCATCTTTCACGCCTTCATACGCTCCGGTATAGAGGTCCAAAAACGCCTTTGACGTAGATGGGTTGTTGTATAGCTTCTGAACAATGTTTGTGGTCACCACATCTCCGCATTCTTTTTCAACCTTATTTTCTACCGTATCGATAGAGATTGAGTGGCCATCCAAGTGAGCATAACAGGTCTGAAAAGCTTTGGTACAGAGCAAGAGCTCCCCATATTTGACATCCTTAGTCGTAAAAAATCCCCTCCCCTTACCTACACTCTCTTGAATTTCCACAGGACCTATAAAATCAGCATAGTCAAGTTTAACCGCTTCATTCTTCCTTTCGACACCAGTGAGGCGCCTCATCTCTTCAAAATCATATTGGCCGGTGCGTTCCTCATATAGCCGCTTATCCACTTTAAGAAGAAGTGCCTTAGTTTCTTTCTTTGCGGGGTATGTTTTGAGGAGAGTGGTGATATAGGCTTTGCACTCCGTGAACCTTCGACCTTGGTAAAGAGCTTTCGCTGCGCGGAATAAGGCCTTCTCATTGGTAGGGTCGTCCTTTAGAATATATTCCGCATCTTCGACAGCTTTCTCATGAAAGTCGGTAGAGCAGTATGATATCGAGCGATTGAGTCGTGAAGCCTTAGCTAAGACAGCATCATCCGGGACCATATTAATAACCTTTGTATAACTGAAATATAACGGATAAGTATAATGGAATCCAATGAGTTGCATAATTGGGGTATTAATACCATTCAATAGCTTCATAGAACTTTTTGCTTCTATAATAAGAATTCCCCTCCTCTTTCCAATCAACAGGAGTTTTCCCAGGGGCCTTCATACTTGGTTGCCATTTTATTGGAATATGATCGTCATCAGGATCGAGGAATATAATATCCGACACATGGTCTACCCGAATGCCTGTCCCCCTATTTAGATTCATCTTATAAAATGGCTCCTTGATAATCACAACCTGCCCCTCTGGTAGGATTTGCTTTGGATGCAAGTCTCGATTCATGTTATATATCTGCAGATGATCACACGCCCCAGTCTCATCTTCCACGGCAGACATAACCGCCGTCAATCTCGTAGATGGTGTAATCGTCCTTAGGACCACATACTCCCCGCGGTGATTCGTTTCCAAAAGAAGATTATCTATATAGGTCTTTCTGAGACTTTTCAAGGGCGCGACTGATGGCGGAAAGCGGTGAAAGATATAAGTTACCTGTACGTCGTCAAAGGTCTGTGTCCCCCCTCGATACCTCGATTCGCCAGGATTGGGTTGAAAACTCAATTGGTCTTGAATGAGTTGGGCACGCGAGTAACGATCACGCGGGTTGGGTCGTTGGCCTTTTTGGTTTCGAGTGTGACGGAGATTATTTTGGAACTCCCAAAGCTCGGTATCCCATCGAGGCTCACTCGGCGGTTTGGCGGTGCTCATATCCATATTTGTTTAGTCAACGAGTATTACTTTTTTTATTTGGGTTCCGATGATATGGAGGACTATATAGCAAGAGATATTTGGATTCTTTGTCGTCGCAGTCTGAAAGCGTATAATATTCGGGTTGCAACCAAGAACATCGAATCCTACTAACAGTTGTTTCGTGACGTTTCCGGATTGTTTCTATGCAGAGCCACTGCAGTCTAGAAACGTCATGAAGTATTACGCATGTAGTTGGTTCACACTGTCCGTATATGACATTCATGGAAACAACTGAGCCTCAATTATTCTCTGTGCCAGGGGATTGGTACTTTAGTATAATTAGCAGACATTTTTATGCGCATTAGAACAAAGGGAAGAAACCATAATGAATAATCAAAGGAAACAAGACATTCCATTTTCTTAATTTGACAAGATTGTCAGCCCTTCGGATTACATAATAACTGTACTCGATGCAGCCTCATGAATACATGTATTCTTCTAGATCTTTAGCGCAGTTTAGCTTTAAATCCACGGCGTGTAAACTCCGGGACAAAATATTATAGTTCCTAAAGGCACCTAAAGCCCTAAATTATTTATACCCACGATCAACGTGATATTGTATACGTATATTGCCACGTGTACTCGACAGAGGCGAGTCTAAGGTTTTTCTTTTGACTCCGCCCCAAAACGCTGCGCGTGTACAAACCAGGATATAACGAGCCAATAAATAAACACAACTTCTAGAAAAGCAGAGCACTGCCTCAATCATACAAAGTTCTCTGCCTGTCAATCCTTCAAGATATACATGTAGCTAGTCCGAACACTCACGAACATATCGCCCCCCCCCCAAAAAAAAAAAAAAATCCACCACCACCGCCACCTGGGAGCCAGCTATAGTGAGAGTGCGATTGAAATCAGCAAAGTACACATTATGATTCCATGCCTTCTTGAAATCCTAGAGTTTTTTGCGAGAATACTTCAGGTGTGCTACCGACCTTTGGGTAGTCCTTTTCGACCAAGAGAGCTGAGTGATCTTTTATGATGCAGAAGGTTGAGTGATCGTTTATGATCCTGTTTTATACCCCCCCCCCCTTTGCTCTCCTAGTACCCTTAGTACCGCTCATCTATTTCCTTTCTAGCACAAGTAGGTTTTTCTTCGCCCTGTAGCTTATCGACGTATACGCTCGGAGATTGGGCTCAGCTACATCTTGAATAGTGAAAGATGATTACCTTAAATACATCCCTTGATCAATTGATCTAAGCTAATAACAAAAAAGACCGGTCTCAATATTTTACCATCAAGCACTCTAAATTACAGAAGAAGGGTGTTTTGTTCGTTCAACGCTCCTACAAAGGATACAGGAACGAGATATGCTATCTTAACTATTATAAGGTATTACTATTCTTATCTACGGCACCATTTCATGGTCTCGTTCTCTTGCATGACACGTTACTGATAGCCACTGAGCATGTAGTCTCGTTCCCAGATCTAGATTCACGTGACCCGGGTTAACTATTATTCTTGAGCGGCCTGCATTAATTACATAAATTCGCCGGTGGATGAATTTATATCCGACTTTCCAATTGTACTACGAGGACTCAGCTAAACCACAACCATGAGCTCTGCTTATGAGCTGATTGGAAGTCCAGACCCAGAATCTAAAAGTTCCATAGATCACCCACCCCACCACACCAAGAAACCTTACTCGCCACCCCACAGAGTTCAGCGTAAGTACTAGTATCAACTGAGTCCACTAA